TCTATTTCGGAAACGCTACATTTATTATAGAAACGATTTAACAGAAGTCTAATACTCGTAAAAACCTGTTAAAAAACGAGCGGCCATCAAAAATAAAAAGGTCGAAGTTTGACCCCTTGCGAATTGGCGTGGAATGCCCCATATACAGCTACTCAGAAAACTGATAGAATGTATCATACAACGCAGTTATCTATAATTAATTGTTTCGAAAAAGACAACTTTTCAATATCAACATAACATATAAATGAACAATTATGTATGATCTTGTTACCAGATATTTTCGTTCATGAATTTTTAAAAGAAATTCATAACAATGCTACGATTTGATCAGTTTCGCGAGTGTTTGCATGTAAAATCAATAAAATACATATGTATCTAAAAAAATGTATGCTGCATATAAAATTATAAATAGAAATCCATTTTAAAATATGAAAAACGCGACTTATAAATCGTGTAAAATATATCGCTTTCACGAACATACGAAAGTACAAATACGAAAGTACAATAAAAGAAAAAAAAGGATAAAAGTCACTTATTCGTTATCCAATTTAACACCGAATTTAACATCGATATGTGTATTAAAGTGTGCATGTGTGTGTGGGTGTACGCACGCTTAAATAATCAATTTAATTATTTCTTTTTCCATTTATTTTATTTTTTCTTCCTTTCAAAAAACAATATGTTCCTATACTAATATAACGTAATAATATTGAGATACATATACGTATTGAATTTTTTCAATTGTTTATCAATTTAATATACTTTGTTGCATTGCTTTTTATCACGTTTCGAGATACAAAAGGTTCGAATAATACGTATTTCGAAAAGTTCGATTACATTGTGATATTATGTTTTGCCGTGTTTGTAAACTAGGCACGATTGTAATGCAGAAAGTTTTAATTATACTTAGATGCTGTTATGCTTTTCTAAATAAAAGTTTCTTTTATATTCCCCTTATAATAAGTTGGAAAATATTGCACATCCTATCAATTTCGTAGAATATACTTAATTTAATTCCTTGAGCGCGCGCGCGCGTGTGTATGTGTATGTGTAAAATACTCAAAGCGACAAATTATATGTGACTCTTACATAATATAAAATATAAAAATTATTAAATATAAAATTGTACATATGTAACAATTATACATATAGATATACACATATTTTATCGTATATAAAAATAATAAATTACTAATTTACCTCAGTAGTTGCTCCGTCTGCATTATTTGACACCTTCGAGGCCTCCCTCTCCTTTATTGTTCCATCGTTGTTGCTCCTTTGTAACACTCACTACTCGGAGAAACACGATTAATTATAATCGCGCAGCACTCTACGACGCTCCCGCTATTAATTGTGACCGGCATTTTCTTACGATGCAATGTGAAGAAAGTACGAGTGCGCGAAGTTACGATACAGCTCGACGGCTCGGAAAAAAGCGTCAACAGTCAAATCTGAAACGAGAGTGAATCCGAAAATTATTAACCGACTTCACGTGCTACCTGCTCACGACCATGGTGGAAGGAAAACAAGGGGTGTGCCATTCGTTTGCGCAGAGCTGCGTGCAGAAACATCACCCGAGTGCTAAAAATCCTACAGCATGTTATTATATCCTACGGCGTGTGTTTTATCTTTTTTTACTTCACATTAGAAGGACAAAGATAAACTCCTGAACTAGCCAGTTCAGCAATAGAAAACAGACCTCTTTTTTATGTTGCACTTTCCGCACTTTGAATAACAAATACAGTCTCGCGTTTCATTCTCTCATATAAAAACCATTTAAAATTATGTTGAAATTTAAGGTAACAAACAAAAGATCGTTCACATGAAACATAGACTCAGGTTGCTGCGTCGAATAATAACGAAATCACTGAAAACAGGACAAATGTTTAAAGGTTAGTAGTGCCTATACATATAAGTATATATGTATCTATAAGTATATACACAATCAGCAACAACGTAATATATTCTTATGCTGTCTTAAATTACACACTTCACTAAAACAGCTGGTCCGTGTTTTATTTGGACCACCCTTATAGAATTCTATTCGTAATTGAATATGCCTTTCTGTTCGTATATATAGATAGAATTACAAATAAAGTTTTTGTCAGAAAAGTATAGATCGTCTGAAACACGTATATAAATATAAGTGAATAAATATATACGAGCTTAAATGAAGATAAATGATCGCGGAACGCAAAAATATAGTCGTTGCTATGCAGACTGCTCGTGCGATGAATTCCGATCGAATAAATCTCGCGAGATACACGTTCAAGGAAATCACCGATATACAAACGACGAATTTATATTACGCGGCTGACAAATATTAAAAAATAAACAAAAAACAGAGTAATTTACGATTGTACTTACAATTAAAAGCGTCGCGACGTCATTCGTTCCGGAATCGGTCACGATTTCGTATAGCCGCGCAACGTTTCGTTAATGACCGGAAATTTAAAAACAGCCGACGCGACCGAATTCAAGTTAATGGTTAATGAGAACACATTTTTGAGCGCATATACGTGACGTGACAGACGTTTTGTTAACGAACGGTCGACATATGTCACTTCTATTTATTTCCAGACCATCCGATCCGGCGTCCGGCGATATTCCCCGGCGTATGTGATATTCCCCTCAAACCGGAAGCGTCGCATGTCGGTATTAAATTACATTTAAATCAGTGAAAAAATTTATCATGCGCGAAACGCGAGGTACGTTCGAATTCGAGCATTTAAGAAATAGCTACCAACTGCCAAATTTCGCGAAAGAGTAGTTCCTATCCTTCATGGTGTCCATATTCTCAAATAAAATAAAGTAATGATAGTGTTAAAAGCTCGTGAGCGTAAAGTAATATAAAGATAAAAAAAAGGAAATAACGAGCGAGGACATTATATGTAATAAAATGTAACATTTATTAATTATGTAATAATGGAAAAAGAGGAACGTTTAAGCCAGGAGCGCCTGGGGTGATTTTTACACCCCAGTATCAAAAAAATGAATAAAGCTCACGTCACAGTAATTTTAATGTGCTTCTTTCGTTTTTAAATATCTTTGGTTTTAAGTTTCTTCTTACTTTTTCTCAGAAAATATTGAATAAATTATAACATATTGTCCTCAAATACTAAAAATTAATCTCTAGAAGAAAAAAAACTGATTGAAAAAAATAGGTACATATATATTTCACAAAGTTTAGTATTACACATTCTATAATTAAACTAGGAATTAAAATTTTATTTAAATTATATTAAAATTCTTTTAAAATTCTATTAAATTCTACTAAGCTCCGTCTGAAATTAGTTAAATTTTTATTCGTAAAAAGTTCTTTCTTCTTAGTTGATTTATAACTGAAAAATTATTAACCTGGATATTTTTACTAAAAAAAGATTGACTTTTAACTTGGTTAGAAAATCAGTGAAATGATATTTAGCTTTTTTATATATATACAATATTCTGCAGATAAAGACTTCCATTAAAAAATTTAACAAAATTTCTTATATAATTTATATAAAAATTACATTCCATAAAGTCATAAATAATCGCAATTATTATATTATTTAAAAATAATATTCTATTTTTAAATAGAATATTACATGATAGATTTCTGGCGAGATTTTTTTAAACAAAAATATGCTAGAGAAGATAAAATGCTCATGTGATTATTTTCACGTTAAGGCAATAAATTTACGAAGACCGCCGGAACTTCGGTATTTTTAATAACTAGAGGCGCATGACATGTTTTCGCGATAAGAATGTAACCGTCGTCAATTACCACTATTTTCATCCAATATTTGCGCGCTACCTGGAATCTTCCCAAAACCGAAAGTCAGTGCTGTCTTTGTACGTAAAATGCCCCGATTCTTTCAAGTATTAAATATAATTATTACAAACGTATTATATAAATAATAAAATGTGAATTGCTTATATAAATAAAATATTCTTTATAATATGTATCTATAATATTCAAATTCTGAGAATTCTCTCTGGTTCTCGAAAAATTTAAATTAAAATTTGAGTCAAACTCAAAATTTATATTTAATCTTCGAAGCTTCGAATACGTAATCTTTTTAAAAGTTTTTGAAGCTTTGCCCTCTGAGCACTCTGAATGCTTGAAAACTTAAACTCTCGAGACGTCGTCGAGACGTATTCGAACTTGAGATTTTTTTTTAATTCGAGACGTTTGGTACGCAACGCGATTCTTATCATTTTCTCTTAGAGATCGTCGAGTTTGAACATTTAAATCTGTATAACGATAAATCGGTACTGACGTTCGTTTTTTATAGATCGCTACCAGTGTGCAAATAGGCGTTTCGTCAAATGGGATTTACGGAATAAATTATCAAATCACATGACGCGTGATGACGCCATAAATAAGTCATATCCTTATCGGAATGTAAATGCGTTCACCTCTTTTCTTCCTCGTTGGAAACTGAGGATCTCGAACCTGCATGGGTCAGTGCAATTCTATCCAGACGCGTAATATGCGACTTACATTCTGCACATCTTGAGGAAAGATGTCCTGCACCAAGGATCCAGAGGTTCCCGCAGGCAGGAAAATCACTGTTTGGCCACAATGGCTGACTGCTTTCGCAAGTAAGTACACAGCTATTCAGTAAAATATTTTAATTAAAATTACGTGTGCATTTGGTAGATAAAATTATTTTATTAATGTAGAATACAACGATAGCTTAATATTTTGTGTTAAATTAATTAATTCAAAATTAGACAGACGTTGTTGTTATTATTATTATTATCATTACTGTTACGTTCTGTTAGTTTTAATGTTAAAAGCAAAATCCAATTTTCTCGTTTAAAACTGTTAACTTTCGAGGAAAAAAACACATTATGTAAATATCACTTTTTCGTAAAAGCGCACGGAAAGAAGTTTTACTGAAATTTGAATATTTAAATTAAATATTTGAAAATTTAGCTACATACAGATTTGAAAATAATTTTGTTGGACCGTCAAAATAATTATTATAGGGATGCTCAAACATGATAATAATACTACCAAAAATTTGGCATTCTATCAATCAGCTTGAGCGTTCTATATAATTATTTTGATGACCCAATAAAATTATTTTCTAAGTCAAATCTGTATCTAAATTTTTAGGTACTTCAGCAATTCTTTCCGTGAGCTGTTGTTACTATATTATTCATTAATGACAGCTCGAACGCTTACGTCTCGTTTTTCCCCAACAGTCAGTCTAGAAACCATCGTTTCTGGTCTGGCCAACGGCTGGGCATCGCCATATTTAGCGCAATTAACATCAACGACAGCAGACGTTCCCTTGAAGCTGACCGACATCGAGGCATCTTGGATCGCGTCCCTTTTAAGCCTTGGTCGTGTAATTGGTGCGCTGCTCGGTGCTTTTTGTCAAGGTGAGGGACATCGTTTTGCTAAAGAAACATACACGTCCTCATAAGATTCATTAATCACAAGTTTAAAAAGATTTATCGAGATAAATTTCTTTAAATCGATCAAATCCGTCGTTTGAATTCTTTCTATTACACCCCAGCATAAGTCAACTATATGTTTGTATTAACATACATATATAATATATTATATTTATAGGTCATAAATTATAATTATAATATGCCAATTAAAACGTAATATATATTTAACCGTGATTTCAACATTCTATAATTTATTTTACATGTTATTGACACATAAATAATAATGTTTTCCATTAAGTAAATCTCGTTCTCTTATCAGTGTGCAATATTCTATTCTTCCTACTTCTAATCTTAAAATATTATTAAATTATGGGATGTACTAAGAGAGAAAGAAATACAATTCTTTCTGTATTCACTTCTTTTTACATTGTCCAGTAAATTTTTCTCGATTGATCAATCGTTTGACCTCGACGCGGTTTGAATCTTCTTCCGATTGAAAACGAGCAACAATTTGCGACCTAAGAACAAGCCAACCACGACTCAGCAATAGTCGAAAATTCGAAGTAAATCTTTTATGTCTCAACAGTAAAAAATAAGATAGAAAATCAAGAAAAAGTGAAACTATTAAAAGTATTTGGAGCCACCCTACCCTCGGACTCACGTCCTTGAAACTCAGATGTGAATCTTTATATCCTTGTAGTATTAAACAATAAAATCCTTCTCAAAGACCCCGATCTAGCTTGACCACGCAAGTAGATAATTCTAATATTCCTGCAAAACTGTGAATAATAGACCCATATTTTTTTGAAACACCTCAGATTTTTCTTGAAATCCTCGAATCCTTTTCCCCAGACAATTAATCGTATCTTCGTTCTAACCCAAAGAAGCGTCTTCCTTTCTTCAATCACGCATTCCTCGCACAGAATGATTTATCGGCGCAACGTAATGCGTAAACGAAAGTGAAAGACGACGTCTCTCGTCTTTTAAAGAGAGCCGCAGTTCTGAGTTGTGGTGATCTTGTTCTCAGGATGACATGTCTCTAATACGTGCCACGACAATCCTTCAGAGTACACCGGGTTAAAGAAGGTGCTGCTGTTATCGGGCTTGCCGTTACTCTCTAGCTGGATCCTCAACATCTGCGCCACGTCAATCACGTGGCTCTACCTTTCCAGATTCTGCTCCGGAATCGGATCGGGCATCATGTGGCCCGCGGTATCCTTGTATCTCGGCGAGATCGCCAATCCTGCTATCCGAGGCTCCCTGGTAATTTAACTAATCCTTCCGTACGTGAAGCTTTATTTGGCTTTATTCTTTTTTTATTTATCTCTCATTTAATTACTTATTTAATCTCAAGATAATTGTATTGTCTGGAAATTCTTTTGTACGATATCTATAATTACAACTTTTTTTTTAATCATCATTAATTCTTTGATAATGATACCAGTTTTCTTTTTTTTTTAATTACTTTTTTCTCGAAGTATAGTTTATTATTTTATCCTCTTGACAAACTTGGACTCTTTCTCCTTATTACTCTTTCTCCTTTCTCCGGATTATTTCTTAAATTATATCTCGGATTCTTTTTCTATAATAAATTTACGCAATTTTTTAAGAACTTTTTCTAAGAATTTTAGACATAAGAACGGATAAAATGTTAAATTGACGAAATTTGGAACGGATGTAACGAACACTATAATGTAATTCCGACTTCTTATTATCGATATATCAGGTTTCTATCATTAAAAACATTAAAGCACACGACGGTGGAAACGAGGTCAGTCACGGTCGCTATTCAGTTCGACTGAGATATCTTCAATATTTAAACTTCGTTATCTTCTCCCAAGACAATTAAAACAGATTATAAGGAGGACGGTAGAACGCGACAGATTGTGATTTAAGACATAATACTAATCATCAGCTATCAGTTCTAAAGATTAAAACTATTGATATTGGTTGTTAAGTAAAGCTCAAGAAATCAAGATTGAAGAAATCATTAACTCTAAAATAATACTTAATAAAAATATCTCTCTGTATATTATTTGTCGATTATTTTTTATTTTTATATTATTCTTTATTATTTATATTCAATATTATTTATGTCTAATATTATTCAATTATTATATTCTAGTTACAAATAACAATTATATCTTTTGGAATCTGTTAAATAATCTGCCATGTAATAATATTATTAAATGTTAAGAGCAACTTTTCTCATCTATCTATACTATTATATAAAATCCTTACGAGTGGTGTATGTTTGAACGTTAATAACTTGAAAATTATTGGACCGAAATTTTACCACAAATATATGAAATAGGGGTAAAATTTTCTAAAATGTGCTACAGAGTGTGTATTTTTTTGTTACCGATTTTCTAGAAACCGATTTTTTTAATTCTTTATTTTTTAAATATTAAAACAATTAAAGAAATCGGTTTTCAGAAAATAGATAACGAAAAACTATATACCCTATAGCACTCCCCGGAAAATTCTACCCCTATTTTATATGGTTTCAATACTAATTCGGTCCAATAGTTTTTAAGTTAAAAACGTTCAAACATACATTTCGAATGATGTATGTTTGAACGTTTTTAACTTAAAAACTATTGGACCAAATTTTTGTCACAAGAAATAGGGGTAGAATTTTCCGGAGAGTGCTACAGAGTGTGTAGTTTTAACGTAGAACTACGTCTTTTTCTGGAAATCGATTTTTTTAATTCTTTATTTTTTAAATATTAAAACAATTAAAGAAATCGGTTTCCAGAAAATAGATAACGAAAAACTATACACCCTATAGCACTCCCCGGAAAATTCTACCCCTATTTCATATACTTGTGGCAAAAATTCAGTCCAATAGTTTTTAAGTTAAAAACGTTCAAACATACATACACAATATTATTCAATTATTATATTCTAGTTACAAATAACAATTATATCTTTTGGAATCTGTTAAATAATCTGCCATGTAATAATATTATTAAATGTTAAGAGCAACTTTTCTCATACTTAATAAAATAACGACGCAATCAATATTACAAGATACATCATAAAAAAATAATATTTTTCTAATATTATTATATAAGAATCCATATAATATACATATAAAATATTTTTGGATCTTATAAAATAACATTAATGGTATAAAACACCGAAAGAGTGTATACATAACAATAACAACGTAAAAGTTAAATCTTCTGACATTAATCGCTCAATGTAACTATTATGATAAGCACAGAAGTATTGATTTTTATTTCTCTCTTTTAACCTTTGATCTTCTATGTTGTTTTAATTAAACATTCTTATCAATAATCCACTTTGCAAGTTTACTAAACAACATGGCAAAAGCTTTGTCATCATAATACGCGTACCTTCAGATATCCTTGAACGTGAACATCGCATCAATGGGTATGTTCCTGGGCAATGCGATGGGCCCTTACATGTCCATGGAGATGTTCGGTTATGTGAGCCTCCTACCGAATATCCTCTTCATGGTCCTCTTCAGCCTGATACCTGAGTCACCCTATCATTATGCTCTTCACGGCAATATCGACGAGGCCGAGGCATCTCTCAAGTGGTTCCGACGAGAGGCTGACGTCAAGGCCGAAATACAGGAGCTGCAGGACTTTGTCGACGGTGCCAGCACCAGCGTTTTAATGAAGCTCAAGGCCTTTCTGTTACCAGGTAACCCAGAAGCGAAATGAATTACTTGATTGTGCCTTTGATGTAAAAATCGCTTTCTTAAAATCTCGAAGCGTTCACCATAAAGTTTTTATTCGAAAACATTTATTGAAAACCTTTCTCCTCGTTAGAAACACCTTCATCACTTCACAGAACATCTTTTAAGCGAGAATTTAATCTTCGCGTCTGTTCTAGTGAATCTGAAGAACATCTTCATCATGCTCGGTTTAAATATCTTCGTTCAGGCGAGCTCGTTCAGCACGATAAACGCCTATACCGAGATCATCGTCATCAGTACCAAAGTGAGCATCACCCCGTCGATCGTGGTGATGGCATTGTGTTTCGCCACGGTCGCCGCCGGCTTCATCACTATCTTGCTGGTGGACAGGTTCGGTCGGAAGAACCTCCTGATACTTTCCAGCATCGGCGTCACCGTTTCGTTCGCCGCACTCGGTCTTCACTTCCATCTTCTCTCTCTGAACTTCGACCCTGTAAGCCTGACATGGTTACCGATCGCGTCATTGCTGTCCTTCAATATATTCGTGTCCTGCGGTCTGTCCACGGTGCCCAGCACCCTCGTGGGCGAGATGTTCCCGGCGAATCTCAAGAATCTGGCGTCCCTTTGCATTTTTTCGAGCAACGCCCTGTTATCCTTCGCGTTCGTTAAGAGCTATCAGCCTTTCATCAATTTGGCCGGAGAAACAATCGTCTTTTGGAGCTACGGGCTTTTCGTGCTCGGAGCGGTGCCCTACGTGCGGTACTTGATCCCCGAGACGACCGGCAAAAGCCTGCTGGAGATCCAGCAAGCCATCAAAAAATGAAGCGGCGCGATTTGTCGAAAAATCAGAACTATAATTTAAAAAAACTTTACTTTAATCCTGTTGTTGATCTTGAGAAAATCTAAAATTAAAACTTTAGGGTATAGAGCGAAAATTTAGATCTAAAATTTCGAAATGACCTGTGAGATCCAAATGTTCACAATTCTTAAATTGAAATGTTGATCTCTGTAATTTGGGCGATAATTTATAACCAAGTTTATGCAATAAAACCCATGGTTTATTTATCTTGTAGGCTAATTAACTAAATTAACTAATAATAATGAAACAAACATTTATGTATATGTTTTTAGAAATAAAAAATTTATTAAAAGTTTAAAAGTATTTATATTTTTAAATTAAATATTTTTAAAGCGCTTCAAGCGGTTCAAGCTTTTAAGTTTATCATCAAATTAACAAACGAGAAAATAAGGAAATTTAAATATTCAAATAGATTTTTAATTGTACAAATTATTAAATATTACAACGCGAAATATTCAGTATTTTATTTAATCGTACGAACAAATTAGATATGCAATTGTAAAATAAATTACTCTTTTACATTTCAATTTCAGAACGTAATAATATCTCCGAATATCTCTTATTAATTTTTTTTAATATTTAATATTTGTCAAATATGTTACATAAAAGATACGTGTAATTTATAATTATATATTTAAATAATTAACATATTGAAGCACGTAAAATTAATATAAAAAAATCACATATTTATTGAAATATATTGGATATATTATCATTAACTTAGAACGTGTAAAGTATAATTATCGTAAATAAACTTGTTGTTACAATGATAATAATATATTAAATGTAATATCAATCTTTTTATGCTTTGCACACTTTAATTTATTTATATGTCAGCGTCATAAAAGTTTCTTTCATATATATATTAATTAATTTCTTATTTGTACATGTCGTTAATCTGTCTCGCTTAATAATAATAATAATTTTAATTAATAATGTTAACATTAACCACGGTGGAATAAATTTTACTAATCACCAATCAAAAATCTTATAGCGTATAGATATAACGACATATGTGAGATAATCAATATTGTTCAACTGCCTCCGGAAACAAATGCAATTTTGTATTTCCTAAAAACTGATTCAGTTGCAACGGTATAACCTTGTAATTAATTTATTGCAATTATTGCATTTTAATTTATATGACGGTATGAGATTATTATCGGCTGCATTTACGAAATACCTTCAATATTCCTCAAACAGAAGATTATCAGATCGATTCTCACGTGGTACGTATATCTTTACTAATGCAATTGCAATTATTTTATAATAGAAAATTATATATTTTAATCGTATAAAAAATATTGCGTAAAGCGCGCGCGACACAGTAATCGCGCACAGAAAAGACGTACATTTAATGCGTATAATTCTCGTTTAGAACGCTAACTCTATATAATTATAATAGATTGTTCTTTTTAACCAAGATGTTTGATATAAGATAATTACAAGCTGAGCCGTTTTTTTATTGCTTGCATTTGTCGCTCGTTGTACACGCGGCTCGAGTGCGATGTTTAGCGTATTTGAAACACGCCATTGCGAAGTCCGTTAATTGCCGGTAAACACAACGAGAGCAATATCGCGCGCATTATCGAATAATCGCGCGCGACCTTGGCATTAGTTAATTTCATCTAATCGATTCGCTCGCCGCGCACGCATCACCAACCGAGTGCCGCGCCGATTGCCGCGGTTGCGCTTGGCCTTATCGCATGCGCGAATTGCACCGTTCTCGCGACGATAAGAAATCGTGTCATACATAGAACGAAAAAAAAAAGTATTCGCGACACTTCGAATTCAAACGCACGCCGTTCTGGCGCTCTGCTTGTGAAGATATTATGCTCGATTCACACCGCAATGGCTGCGCTTAGCGCAAAAAGCAACTCGGGAAAAGCGCTTATAGTGATTCTTATTTTACTATGGTTTGTGATTTCTACTCTCTTTAGATTTTTAGATCTAGCGAGGAACTAAAAGCAAAAACCAATCATTTTGGAGAATCTCTGAACGTTTACTGAGCGATTTTTTCCATTGAACGTAGCTAATGCGCGCGGGCATTTGGATGTCCAATAGGAGTGCGCAGTTCCTAGGAACAAAATGACGTATTTGTTAGATCGTTGAATGACTACTTCATGGTTGAATGATTAGAAACATATACATATTAAATTATCCAATTAGTTCGCCTGGTTCGCCTAATCCAGCTTTGTCATTCGCGAATGCGAAATTTTGCTGAAGTACGACAAATAAAGTCGATGCAGAAATATAAAAACATATCTATTCATATATATATACAATTATAACATATTGTTATACGTACAATTACTCGATTATAGATTTAAAGAATAGTATAAATAACAAAATTATTATAATTGTAAACAATAAAATTAATTTCAAAATTAAATACAAGTTAAAGAATAAAGATAGCATAATATAAAATGATATAACAATTTGGTAAAAATATAGTTTATTTTTGCGCGGATTGATAAAAAACCTTTACATTTGGATATACTTATCGTTTGATTTTGTTATGAGATATGCAGCCTGCTGGCAGTCCATAGGTCCATATACTTATGTAATCTGTAATCAAAGGTGCATTATTAATTTTGTGAGATTCACGAAACGCAGATTGTGTGTCGATCGATGCTGAAAATAATCCACAGTAATTTTCTTTTAAATTTTTCTTATCTCTAATTATTATTGTATCAATTATTGTATCTTTATCTTGGTGAACAAGTAAAATTAATATTTTTACAATTTTTTTGTGTTTTAAATTTATGAAGATTTCAGAAAGATCTTAAACTTCCTCAGATTTTATAATTAAGTTTCCTTCGAAAATGAAAATATTAGACCATATGGGCTCTCCCCCATGGTCCTTCTTTTATCTGAATAAAAAAAAATGAAAATATCATCTTAAAATATTTCAGAATTTACACATATAAGAATGCTAGAAGATTCAGATTTTAGCATTTCTAAAAAGTGTTTTAATTTGGTAGAACAAAATCTGAGAAATTTTTTAAAATATATTGTAAAATTATACAAAAATTGTGAAAAATTATGTGAAAAAAAATTCTAAAATTTTCAGCAATGTCATCTCCAATTTAGTAATTAAGATTAAATATCGTAAAGTATAAAAAATTGTGAGCTGTACACACCAAGAACACTGCCGGTTTTTAACCTAGCCTTAAAACCTGATGTTTCGCATTGTCCGCGAATTGTCTCGCGTAGAAATAATTCATTCACGAGCCACTGGAAGTTGCGGGACGACTGGATTCGTGGCAAAGAGCCAAACAATGAAACGAACGAGAGCGGCTACGAGGATTCAGCAGGGAAATAAAATCGAGAAGGATGAGAATGGCGAGGATACGATAACCAAAACCCGAACGCCGGTTTGTTTACATTTTGTGCATAGCTGTCAAGAATAAGGGCGAATGTATCAGTTCATTTCAACGGAGTAGATATAAATGAAATAAATATTTCTTCAAGAATAATAGCACTTTCCTTACTTTTTCTTGAACGTTATGAGTTGATTTTAATATTTTTAATATGACTACTGAAAAAAAAATCACTGGAAATAACTGGAACAACATATTAAATAGTAAATTATGTAATGGAAATGTCATATTCATCTTTTGCATCAGCATTACTTTCTGTTAGACGGTGTCAGAAAGACCAAAACTGAACCTCAAGTCCTTACGAAATCAAAATACTAAAAATGTATCCAATACAATGGATCAAGTTGTTGCTTCTTCTAAAAGATCCAAGGTTTCTCAGAGAGAGCCCAAAATGGAAACTCACGTTGAAAGTAAGTAAGATCAATCAGTCAATTACAAATTATCTACTCTACTATTTTTATAAACACGCTCATCTGTAATATTCATATAGAAGGAAAGGAAGAAGAGGAGTTAAAACCAAACGCAAAACCCGGTAAAGGAAAACGGAGAGCAGTTGTGGACTTGCAGATGATGAAAGCAGAATTGAGTCAATTAGAGGATCCTCCTGTGACACCCTGGGAGAAGGAATTATCATCTGGCAGATTGCAGTACGAGTTCTTCGATACTCCCTGTGAAGAGCTAGCGCAGCGGCTGTTGGGTTTGTAAAGAATTCAACTTCTCTCACACAACACTACTCATTATATTAAAATTTATCTTTTTATTTTTAAAGAATAATGTGGCGATTACTTGAAAGACATCCTATCGCTTCTTTTCTGTTTCGTACAAGCTGTATATTCGTTAATTTTGTATTTCTCCTACAGGAAAAGTACTTGTAAGGTATCTCGAGAACGGGACTGTCCTCAAGGGTAGGATCGTAGAGACCGAGGGATATTTAGGCGCGATTGACAAGGCGTCCATGACTTACCAGAACAAAGTTACGCCTCGCAACCTGCCGATGTACATGCCACCGGGGACTATTTACGTTTACATGACATACGGCATGTACCATTGCTTCAATATCTCTAGTCAAGGTGAGTACAGTAAAACTAATTTCTTTCATTATTTCTATTCTACGAAGAATTAAGATGAGTCTTCTTTTCACTTGTATGAAATGATAAAGACCATGTAAATAATATGAAAGCAAAGAACAAGGTTGTCCCCTAACTCATCAATAGCAAAAAATACAGGAAGAATGTAATAGATTTGTTTAGAGGGAAAATATCGCGTTTTTACAATCTCGAATTACATTTTTATTACAATACTAAATAACGTTTAGAGGGGAATGCGCATGTTTTGATCAAAGCGGTGGAACCGTTGGTCGGCCTCGAGTATATGGAATTGCTAAGAAATATGCGGCGCAAGGATAACGGAAGAGAAAAACAAATCGCGACACATGCAACGCACCTAAAGCAACACGAGCTTTGCAATAATCCGTTCAAGATTTGCGACGCGTTTGCGATCGACCAGGACGCTTTCGACCGGAAGCTCGCTTATGCGTGTAATAATCTGTGGCTCGAGAGTCAACCCTTTGTAAGGTCTCCTACTATAGTAGCCATACCATCTGAAACCCCTAAATCGAACAATAATCGCGCCGTAAAGACGCGATATTATGTACTGGGAAGCGTCAGCGTCGACGAAAAAAATTCTGAATACGAGGAACACGCTTACATCGCAATAAGTTAAGCTTTATAAATATTAGATAAGTAAAAAACTTCTTACGTTCAAATCTGTACCTGCATGGCAAGTTTCAAATTTTTTCTCGTCTACGAAAATATATTTCTATTTGAGAAGTTAAGAATTTTTTAAAAATAGTTAAATTAACAATTATATAACTTATAAATTTTTAATTCCTTATATCATTTTACGACACATCACGAATCTAAAATCATATATTTTTAATCCCAGCGTGCGTGCTTAGCGGACTTCAAAATATAGAAGCTTAAGGTCGAAGCTAATCCTTGTTTTAGCTGAAGCTGAGATAGACTTTCATTGAATCCTTTAATCGTTGATATCTCTACACGACAAAAGAACGTATTTTACAGTGCCATAGTTTCATAGAAATACCATATATTCTTGGATAGAAATATAGAAGAATTGATCCTTACATCCGCGTAGCTTCGAAAGATCTTCACCTCACTGTTAATAAGATCTTAGGTGTGGGATGTGCGGTGCTGCTGCGAGCCGTCGAGCCTCTAGAGGGTTTGGAGGGCATGGCTGATCAGCGTAAGATGAAGAGGAAAACCCGCACCGATCTTAAACCGCACGAGCTGTGTAACGGCCCCTCGAAGCTCTGCATGGCGTACCAGCTTAATAGAGAACATAACAGGTATTCTGTTTGTACATGGAAGGGTATGTGGATCGAGGACGATGGTGCACTGGAGGATATCAAGATCGTTAAGGCCGCCAGGATCGGAATCGATAGCTGCGGTCCAGAATGGGCCAGCAAGCCTTTGCGCTTTTATGTTTATGGTAACACGTCCGTCAGCAAGAGAGACAAGAAGGCAGAGATGGAAATTCTTTAACTGCTCGAGGCTGATCGTTCTATCAAGTCCAATTTGCATGCTCCTACGTAAAAGAAAAAGTGATATTCTTATCGAGTGCATTTAAAAACATTCTTTATATAAATCTGAATCATAATAAAGCAACAAATTAGTCATTCGAATGAGATACCAAATTATTGTTAGAGAACCACGAAGCACAAGGTTTCTCGTTTCTTTTTCAAGAGAAACGATTTGATAAAATACTTTACTAATGATCTCTCCATTTAATATTCTGCTATAAAAGATTGATAGTTCAAAAAAACTTATGCCCGTTAATTATTTATTTATACAAATTATTGATAAAAATGTTGACAAAAATTGATAATTAATATTGATACGATTAAATTGTGAAGTAACAATTCTGCGAAGATTCGAAAAATTTGATTATGAAATTGTCATCAACAAATTATGTACTATAAAGCATCAACGTTGATTAAGATCTTAATGTTGTATACGTTTATTTTATACATTCAAATTGTATACATTTCTGGCATGTGAATAAATTATTCGATTTTGGCAATGAGTCGATTAAAGTAACTTATTACAATGATTGGATCTGTATTATGCGAATTAAGTTTGCTCTATATTAATCAATCTATACATATACATAAATACGATTTAAATTATATATAATTTAAATTATATATATACATATATATATATAGGATCTAAATTGTAATCCTAATAATTAGATCATAATAATTTCACTATTATGCGACCCAAAGTCTTAAGCTGAAGTTCAATGTATTGTAATATTTTTTTATGCATTTATCTTAAGAAACTTAAAGCTATAGGAAAATTAATAAAAATTTGAAAAATATTAAATCTCAAAAATTCAATGTTGAGATCATAATAATTAATTTATGACCAAGCTATGATTATCGTGTATATATGTATATGTGTATATACGTATAATACAGGGCGTAATTAATCTCTTCTCAAAATAAAAGAGAAAAAAAATAAGCGTGCTTCTATCACATTTTCAGCGGGGAAACCTCATCACGTCCATTCCTTCATCACGCGTTCGTAATCCTCTTCCTCAATAAATGGCTTGTCTATCGATCTGTAAATCAATCATTACACATTGATTCATTAGAATCCAAAATTATTTTTAAATTATAGAATTTTATATAATGTTCGCAAACATTCTAAAAAATATTTAAATTTTATTTAAAATTTTGCAATTAAAACTCCTTAACTGTTGAACCATTTATCAAACTTACTCTATCATAAGCTCTCCGCAGTAGAGGCATTCCGAGGCGACCAGCTCGTCGATATCGGCCTTGATTTGGTCCCTCGTCGACAACGACACGGAGATCGTCGAAGTGGTGTCTTCGGGCCGGTTCGAGATAGCCGTGAGTTGTCGCTGAAGATCCGCCAGTTTCGTCCTCTGGTCCATAGACAGCATCGGCGTTAACGCCGCTACTAAACAGTCACTGTGAAATTTATGACCGCAGGGAAATACGTAGAAGGGTCTCAGCAACAGTTGTACGTCGCATGTATTACACGTGTCCCGCGCATGCACGAAGGTGCATCTGAAAATAAACATAAATCATAATTAAATCGAGAACAGAAATGTGTATGATGCCCGATATTGTAATAAGCAACCATTTTTGGAGTACGATACATTATATTTAATGAATTTTCGATAAACTTAACATATCCTAATTTTATTTTATTTTTATATTAAATTAAATTTAGATGAAGCAAATCGTTACTTTATTTATTGTTGCGTAGTTTTCAATACCTGGTTCTGAAGGCTTGAATGTCCTTCCGTATTAGTTCTGCTGCTTTCGTGGCTTCCTGCATCTCTTCCTTAAGATCTTGAATATGCTGGTTATATTCCTGAACAAAATTTAACAAAAGTTGTTGTTTATAAATAATTACTTTTTTCGAATCTAATAATTTTTTATATCTATATAATTATAAAAAGATCATTAAAAGGAGATAAAATATAAAATTAGATATCTAGGACCGGGAGAATATTCAGTTTGAAATCTGATCATAAATTCAAAAACAGATGTAATCTGTACCTGCAGGGAATTGCAAATAGCTTCCTTGAAATGATCGATCGTGACGAAATCAGAGAAAAAGGGCAGAATATCTTCTATCCTAACTAAATCACAGTGTTGCAAAAACTCCATTGCTTGCTGTATGTCGTCTTTTTCTCGCACCACGTGCTCCGCTGCACATACATGTACAACAGTAAAAATATATTAAAAAATAAATTCAATAATAAGTTATAAGCACAAGTTTGAAATTACAATAAGTCTGGTCGTATATACAGCATTTCTAATCGTATCAAGATGATTGTTGATTAAAAAATTGTCTTGAATTACCTATCTTCAACCATAGTTTCTTCCTCAACTCGTCATCATGATCAGATGGCATAGCGGCGATTTGCTTAGCGAGATCTACGCTGATCGTGAGCGCGAGATCCACGGCGGTGGTCCAGAGACCGAGCAAAGCCGACAATTGCACGCAGGCTTCCGTCAAGCCTACCTCCTGACACAAACGCAACGCGTAATGCACGTCATAGTGCACCATGCTGATATCCTGACCTAGAAATAATAGCAACAGGTTATTCCGTTTCAAACGAGACAACAAGTCAATAAACCAATTCATAACTGAAGTAAATTGATTCTCCATAAAAAAAGGCCACGAAATGTTTACCTTGAGAGCTTATATATCGCATCACTTCGCCCTGCTTGTAACGCGCATACAAGGATAGAAGAAAGTTGTGAATTGCTTGCTCCTGCGAGCCCTGCTTGTACACGCAAAACTCCAAATATTTAATAATTTCTTTTGCCTGTAAAAAATAAAAAAATATCAATGAAGCTGCTTACGCAGTTAGAGAAAATAGTGTAGTTCCAGATATCAATATTACTTTTTAATGTAAATTTTAATTAACAACCAACTGTTATTCTTAATTTAGTAATTATCATTATATCGACACGTGTAAAATAAGAGTTATAATATGCTCTCTCTTTCTTCCTTACGTGCTTTTCGTCACTGTTGCACGAGACCAAAGCTGGCAGAAGCTTCGCCGGCTTCAGTGACGATCCTTGCGAGATCAAAACGGCCACCGTGGGCCGTGGCAGCTCTTGTAATAATATCCCGGCGAATTGATAGAAGAGGTCCTTATTGTTTTGACTCTTGAGTACCCCGAGTGCCTCCAAGTAGTTATTCTTGTACAAGTGCTGACGAATCACCTCCTCGTAGTTGCAGTGCATTATTGTCAGACATATCAGATTGTCTTTATCACCGTGACTGGCCATCAAGTCGTATATCGTGCTACGGTTTCTCCTGATACATTCCTGCATCCAAAGCTCTAGTTACCGTTTTTCAAGGTGATAGTAAATTTAGAATAAATCGATTTAATTCGATAATTAAAAAAAAGAGCTCAAACATGCAATACCTAAATACTGGAATGATTCTTAATTATAATTCTAAAATATCAATACTTCAAGAAATAAATTTAGAATTGTAAATAACAAAAATGTCAAACACATAGTAAAAAATATAATCAGAAAAAATTATTTAAAGTATTTTAATTATATTTATAATTAATTATATAATTAAAGAACATTTTTTTAGAGATGCCTAATTTATATTTATATATCTTTTTCTTCTTCTTTCGAATTCCATATTTACTCATGAAATATAATTAAGAAGCACCCTGTACATCCTTTTTTTTCAATCCACCCTTATTCTCTCCAAGTACCTCGACTTTGGGAATGGTGAGAAAGCTGTCAAACTGCTTCTGCAATTCCGTGTACTGTGAATCGTGAAGGTAGGACGTGTTGCTGCTGCGCAGAGCTCCCATTTGATTCATAAACAGTTCCGTCACCCAAATGACAATCATTGTTATCTGCGTCTTGTCTTGCGTCTTCAAACCATCGAGTTTCTTGAGACAAATAATCATTTTAAAATAAATAACTATTGATTGCAATTTTGGAATTAAATAAAAATATTTAAAAACTTTGAAAATCTGAAACGTTTATACACAAAAATATAAAAGTAAGAAAAAATTGGAATGGAATTATATTATAGCAATTGCATTTCAATATATGTATAACTAAAATAATAAATGTTTTCCACAGTATTACCTGACTTTGTAATTATTGTAATTAATTAATACAAATGTTCATTAATTTTTGCGTAAAATAAGAGAACTGCTAGATAATAAAATCGCTAGATAATTCTTATCGTTTACCTTGCGCAGAAACGTTTTCAGGGCTTCAATTTGCCACTCTTGCAGAAACTTCAAGGAGACCTCCTCGAAAGACGAGTGAGTATCAGCGTATATTAGCGCGCTCTTCTCGTATCTGCAAAATTATATTCAAGATATTACAACCAAACCAAATAAAAGTAGATAAAACTTGGAAAAAAAACTTTTTATATACACATTCATATATACGCAAACGCACAAACTTACTCTTTATTCTTGAAGAGCATTTCCGCCTGTTTCACGAGCACTTGATCGATGTGCGCCGGGTTGTCTCTGCAATACTGCTTAGCCAGTTCAAATTCACCCTTATCGACGTATACCTGAATAAAAGATCATTGTTATTGTCAGATCAAAATTATTACATTCTTATTCGCTTTACCTGCCAAACGTTCCTATCTTCCTTCGTTACTTTGTACTTGAAAACAGCTCGCTCGCTATAAGCCCAAATCGACCTCGTTGCCGGATCCTTGGTGATGCCAATTAATTTGCCGACTGCCTAAACGTCATTAAATCATACTTGCATAACATATGTATATTTAACATCTCGCGAGGAAGTTTTACCATTACATGAACTCTATAAAATCGAGCTCTATTAAATTAATTATATTTATATTAATTACAATTGCAACACATTCTCTCTCAACTCTCTGATTCTCAGTGTAATTATGCAACTCGTGCGATCGCGTAAAAAAATCACGGCGGTGCGGTCTCGCGCTGCGCGTGTACTTGGCGCGAGACTGCCGTGTCTCTTGATAACTGATCATCCTAATAATGATAAAGAATTGTTGAAAAGTGCACATACGTCATTGTAAACGTCTTCGAATATCAATTCCTGATTTAGAAGCGATATGCCCTTCACGTGATCCGGATACAACAGCAACGCATGGAATTCCGTCAGTACAAAAGACAACGGCACCGAAGTGGTTTGCGGAACGTTACTACCCATGAGACTTGTTTCCGGGCACGTCAACATCCGTTGATTCACCAGTACGTATTTCGCGTCCGGTTTCGCGTCCACCTAAAACCGATCATCATGCACTCTTCATCCGGATCAATGGTTCTCAACGCGAGCCAATGAACTCCAGGGAGAGGTCGTCCCACATTTCTAAGCAATCATGCGTAAAAAGAATAACACATTAGAAAATTGCAAAGTTTATGAGTGAGCTATCCGAGCTTCCCTATTTCCGTGAATAGCGGAGGAATAACAAGTCGTGAAGATAAATGAAGTACAGAAGAGAAAGCAACAAGAGATTGAGAAACGCACGTTTAGATTTACATGTGATATTAACACTCAGATCTTTAAAGTAAAACAGAAATATGACAGTATATAATATATCAAGAAACACGGTAGTATAATTATACCTGAGCATACAGGATACCAGCTTCCGTCAGCCATCCAAATGACTTTGGCAAGACGCCTAGGAATGGATAGTAAAATTGCATCTTCGAATATGGCAAAGAATTTATTACTTCGTTAAAGGTCTCTGTAAACATATAACACATATATTCATTCAAACGTGCTGTATGTACCAACGTTTCTTAATTTCCTCAGATCGCAGAACACTGAGCAATTCTCCTCTTCCTTTTCTATTTTTCTTGACACGCTTCTATAAGCGAATATTTAAAAAATAAATGCACAATAAACAAAGCGAATCGATATATTTAGATTTATACTTGAATTTAGATATTTAATTATAATAAATCTAAATATACTGGTCTTTATACACAGAATTACTTCAGAGTTGTTCGAGGATCTGAACATTTAAGGAATATTGAAAATGCAAAATCAAGAATATGTTTTATTTTATTTCTCTCTTACCTTGTGCGTTTAGATATCTATAGAATACTTGTTGCAAAAGAGGCTTCTCTTCAGGATTGCCAACGGCACCAATGTACTGGTAAATGCGCATAAGGGTGGTCACGATAATCACATATTTATCCGAATTAGGAATTTTGTGAAATTCTATTCCAGTGATCGGAGGCTTGCTATTCTTTCCAATGTCAAACACCTAAAATCATGTTTATAGCATGAAAAATATTTCATACTATTTCAGGTAGAATATTTAGATGATATCTAAACAATGATTAAAAATATAAATAATTAGAAAATATTAATCCCTTTTATTTCAATCATACAAGATCACTGTATAAATTTCTAACGAGTTTTTACCTTTCATAAAAATACAAAAATAACTTTTAGCGTTTATTGCTTTCTTTCACGACCAAAAAATGATAATGCCAATAGAAAATATTTCCTAATTACTTATTTCTTGTGAAATCTAAATCTAATTAAATCTTGTGAAATTTGAATTTATCGTACCTATATAAATTACATTTATGTAAAAATACATATTATATAAATATATTTAAAAAAACATACAAACTTACCAATCCTCCCGCCTCTTTTGAACCATAAAGAGGCAGATAATTCGGAAGCTTTGTTAAAAATGAATAATGTAATGGTGAAAGGGTGTTAGTAGCAGATAAATGAAATGATGGCCCTACTAGCGTGTAAGCAATTAATACCTGACGCCAGTACTGCTCCAAACTCGTGTTAAAAAGCTTGTCATTCTCCAAGCCGATCTCCGTTTCGAAAATCAGGCCCTTGGAAGTGCCTAGTAGAATGGGACCCGAGCTCGTTTCCGAAGCATTAGAAAAGTTCCAGCCCACCGCGGTGATCTCGTGACCCTTGAACTTGCCAGCTTGCTTGAGCTTCGCCGTCTTCCTATGCAAGTAGAATAATTCCGGCGGCGGGTTGTCCCCGTGTCTCGGCACCAAAGTTATCAGCAGGTGATGACCCAAAGGGTCCAAAAACAAGCCGGATATTTTCATGCTCAACGCATACTTGGATATGTCGATTTCTGCAAGTGAAAACTTGATGTTCTATCAACGAAGAATTAACTTTCAAGTAAATACGCAATGTATATATAATTTAATGTATACTTGATATGATGAAACGCAATATAAAACCTGCATTTATAACCTTCTTATTAAAGACTTATACAATTTATTAATATTTATATATAATTTATCAATAAAAAAAAATAACTTTTACGTATCTATAAGCCAAACAATATTTGCAAGAAAAATTTTATCATTTACATATTGCTACTACTAAAATAATGCAAGTGGCTGTGCCTGATCTACCTTCAGTTTTGTCAGGTTGCTTCATGTCGATGCGTAGCAAAATGTTGTTAGCCATAGCAATCACAATTGCGTTACTGCTGACAGCTAAGTGAAGAATTTTATCTGACGGCAAAAAGTTGACCTTCTGCTTAGTGAATATGGGCCCGTCATCTTGCAGCTTCATTTGAATAAATCCAGCTGTGCTCTGTAAAATATGTTACAATGTTGTTGAGTGACTATCTATATCTATTTCGTTAACTGGCGTCTAGCAACGGACGTACGATATCAGGACGAATTGGCGGTGCCGGCACTTGCTTGGAACGCTGAGAAGCTTGCTCGTACTGGTCAAACATCGACGTCATCTTGATCGCTGAGTAAATCTGTGCACACATACGTACATTTACATTACAACCACGTTATTGAAAATATTAAAAATATAATAACAAACAGGACATTTCTATTCAGTGTTTACATCTAATATAATAAAATCCAAATTTGCAAAAAAATAATATAAAGCTCAATGGATTCAAATTAATAATGAAATAAATATTGCAGATTCTCTGATACAAGAAAGTGACATTGTTTCACTTGCCGATTCAATCTCGAGGTAAATAACGCATAGGGAGGGAGGTTTATAAGTCTAAAAATTCTTGCGTCTCCTAAATAAGTCCAATTGACCGTCTTACGCCATCGTAAAAGTCTTCGAAAGATGGATAGATTTCACGCACGTGGCATCGAGGGGAGTTGCCAAATTTTTCACGGCAAACAAATATTGAACAATATCAGCTGATCGCTGGTGACGCATAACGTCAGTCGGAACGTTCTGTCTCGATGAGTTTCGGAACGCGATTCCCCGATTAGTTTGTTCAGCTGATCAGTGACTGGTCGATCTGCTCAACGACAAATGCGATTGGTCATTTCCAATGGACTGATCGGCCGATTAAAGTTAATCGGAGTTTGGCCGAAGTGGCCCCGAGTTGCCCCGACTGTTTACAATTATACGTGTGTGCCTTCAGGGACACTGCGTGAAATTTCATATCTCCGTTTCGATCAATTTAGGTTAGATCGATTGTCGCTGATACCGTTCGGTTTAGATGCACCCAGATGAGCTGTGCTCAGCTGTGCCTGGACGAAACGTGATCGTCGGAGACCACACAATGAATCCTGTTGCCTCATCAGCAAATGAACAACTAATAACAATGCTGAATAACAATGATAAATAGTGTGTATGACGTTATCTCCAATGCACCAGGTTATCGTACTTTTCTTCGCTGCGTCCGATCGCCTTTGTCACGTTTCAACATGCAGCAAGCATGTTTCGTTACAGCGAAATTTTCTGAGACTGTCGGATAATATTCAGTGATCCAGTCGCCGATCGGCACTGATCGATAAATCCACAATTACTTTGGCGGTCATCCTATGCATTATGGAGAAGCAGAGACAGGTATAAAATGTATAAGGCTTTGCATTGCTTTCTTTTTCTTCGTAATGACGTCAGATTATATTTATATGACAATTATACACTGATTATATATTATCTTGCTTATATTTATTTATATTATGAAGCATTTTCTCATTTCTGTCTGATATAGATTTAATATTTGTTTGGATTATAAATTTTTTTAGTGATAAATAAAGTCAACAGCGATATTTCAGATTGAATTTTAATGTAACTTTAAAGAGTTATCGTATTCTTGTCCCCTCTAGAAGAAGAAACGAGATAAATCGCGCCGTTCGATTTTGGAGCATCAAATACCAGATGCTCCCACGTTAGAAGAGTTTGAGTGCCTGCTTGGAGAGTCGCCCACAAATTATCCCAAGGGTGAAGCTGTGGAAGATATAGAGAGCGAGTTGCATTCGGCCGCTATTGATACAGAAGTTTACGAAAAACAAGCTGCTGAGAGAGCAGCCCAGAAAAAATGCGGTCAGGAAGTTGAAGCGAATGAGGTTGAATTAGCGGTACGACACTCAATATTTATTTATATAGGAAGCATTTCTAAAAACAAAAAGTGAAATTACATAAAATATTAACATATTTTTCAGGTGTTGCTGTTAGCTGAAGATTCTTATGACGAGGTCGACGCCGTCCAACCTTGTCCGGTGTCCGACAACACTGTAGATGATCAAATAGAACAGATTGATCAAACAGATCAAATAGATGAAATGCAAGTAGCTGTTTCCACAATTCAACTGATAGACGTATCGTCAACTATCCCAGAGGAAGCCAGTCAAATAGTGCAAGAGTCCGAGGATACAATCGAAGTACCGACTCCGTGTGAGAAGACCCCGTCGAAGGAGACGGAAGTTTTGGAAGTTAAGAAAGATACGGCGAGTGCCTTCAAGGATGTCAGACCATTCACGGATCAGCAATTGGCGTCCTTGTATCACAATCAGGAACTGATGTTGGTGGATGCTTTTGTAGCCGAGTTTACAGAGACGCAGTTGAGATGCGCACCGCTTAGGCAGCAACACAGGCTGCACGAGCTGCTGATGAACTACTTGAGAGTGCGTAACCATCTAATCGCAAATTCGTACGAATTGGAGCGTTTGAAGAAGAGCTGCCGGGAGACGCAGAAGCAGCTTTGGTGCCTGGAGAAAGCGTCGGAGACAGAGAATGGCGAGTGCCAAGATGGCAATCCCGTCACTGCCACTCATGAGTATTCGGTCGCTCATTTCAATCAGCAGGCGCTGATAGCGCTCTCCAGGACGCTATCGGCCATCAAAGACACCCTACACGAAAGCCAGGCGTTGTATTGCTACGAAGCAGAGTCGTTGCGTCTGCAAATTGAGCATTACGTGCAAAGAGTCGCTAGGAGCTTCAACGTGAGTTATCTTCTATCAAAACAAAGTCATTGGAACGTCAACTATCTAGCAATTCGTTCATTTTCAAGTTAAGAAGATCTGAGATTGAGCTCAGACTAAACCGAATTAAAAAAAAAATTAAGTTAATCATCAAGTAAAACAGATACGATAATCTTATAATCTACACTGATTCTTCACACAGCTAAAAACTTATTCAAGTTGCTTTTCTGTTTTCAGGAGTTTGCCAATCTTTCACAAACCGCCCCAGCAAATCTTTTACCGGAGCAATCGCCATCCCAGACAGCTCCGCAGCTGGTCGAGCTTAGGATGTGCGTAACTGTCCTGTTCAACTTCCAACGTCGAGTTCTCAAAGACGGCAAATTCGTCACGGACACCAGAGAATGGCTGTCGAAACTGGTGGCGGTGCTCTTGAGGGTCGCTACCTGGCAGGATCATTTGTTTCTATTGAATCATATACTGCGATGTCCTGGCGGCGTGATGAACTGGGCCAAATCCTTCGTACAAGTGCCAGTGCCGCCAAAAGTCTCGGGATTGAGCTCCTCGCCATTTAACGATCCATATCTCGATCATATGATTGCCACTCTCGCAGTAATCCTGCTGCCAATCAAGGATCGAGATAAGTTCTTAGAACAGGTAAAATTAAGGATAGAACGTTAATCGTTTTAAGAAATCGATAGGATACTTTAACTTCTTAAATTGTTCTCACATTCTCGACTGAATTTGCTACACAGGTGCAAGTATCTCTGCAGGACACTGCAAACAGTCCAGGGGATACAGTGTGGGTGATGCTGGATGAGGAGGGCGAAGAGGACGAAGATATCGCTAACGTCGGCGCTAATCTCTTTGAGAGTGATCTGATTTCTCTTCTTCATCAAATCCCGCTGGACAAACTTTTCGAGCAGGTGCTGTTTATTCAGCGCCAAAACGACAAGTACGAGCAGGAGGAGAAAGCCATCACGGACCATCACATGTTGCGTCTCTTCGCGTTCTACAGCGTGCTCATCAGACTTCTGAAGCAAGGCCTGAAGTCTTACGACTCGCCAAGATATAGACAATTAGCGAAGAGGCTCAGCGCGTTGATCAGAGACGTTGTTCAATATGCCAGCGATCAGTGGGAGGCTTTCGACAAGAGCCAGGTATGTGAAATTAAAATTTATGGATTTGCAGAATTCTACAGATTAATATTAAGTTAAAAAATCAAAAGGATATATTTTTTTCCCTCAAATTTTGTTTTAATTTACCGAAAATTTAAATAAATAGAGGTTTTTTTTTCACAACTTTATAATTTCTGGTATTGCATATCTTGTCGCTTTAAAATTAATAATGCAATTTCATTTAGATAACCGACGAGTCAATGCTGGTGAAACTGCAGACCGAATACGATTGTTTTTTCCTGAGAGCGATCCTCTGCATATTCTCGTCCCGGCGTCTAGGTGCCTGGCAATATCTCGCCGCGATACCATATCATATTATATCACCCACCACTCTGTGGCACATCTTCTATATCCTGCATACTGACTCATCTGGTGATACAACAACATCAAACACGTCAGTCTCAGGTAAACTATGATAAGATAATAATATTACAAATATTTCTTTTCTACAATTTTTTTAAATTTATCTTTTTATCTATTTTTATCTATGTCATTTTTTTAAATCCTTTTTGTAAAAATAGATTATTAACAATGAATTGATGTCGTAGACTGGGATACAGAACTGAGTTGTCCTGAACTTCATAAACAATTTGAAGAGAAGCTGGGCAACTTACCCGGCGACGAATCCTACTTTCTGCTAACAACTTTTGCTAACATGGCCATGGCTAGAGGCTATAAAGACTACGATTTTGTGAGAACAACTACGATTGATCTATTTCAAGTACGTTAATACGGAAGTATGTTAAAGTACATATTTGAATATAATTAGTCAAATAATTTGCCGTTAATGCGATAACGACGAAACATTCTACATATAAGTAAGAAAATTTAACAATTTATGTCTTACAAATATTAAACTCAAATTTTGATGTTTAAAATTCTGTTAAACTTCATCTAATTAATTGAATTACAGATTGGATTTCTCAGCGAGAAAACTCAAGAGTCCTGCTCGAAGGACGCGAGATCGCTTTTATTGAACTTGACAAGCAAATATCCTACTCTCTTGTCTGATATCCTGCAAAAATTAAGGGACAATTTTGTATCAGTTGGAAAGGTATAATTTTTGTTTTGTATTATAATTTTCTCTCTACATAGTATTTACTAAACTCTCTCAAAGTTCTGTAATTCCACATGTAAATTGTATTTACTAAACAACTTTATTATATTTAAACGAGATTTATATCAATTAATATCTCTTATAAAATTACTTAACAGAAATACATATATAATTACAAAAAAAATATATAATATTTGTAATATAATAATAGGCTAACTTATCACTGAATTAACTTTTCAGATAACGTGTGTATTAATATATATGTATAATTTCAATGATTTTAGTTGAGTTTGTATTTGTTCACGGAGTTGAAGATAGGAATGTGGGTACCGCAACAGCAGGACATAGCAATTCTCTCCACCTGGTTGCATCAACATCCTTTAACTTCATCCGAAAGCCATCTGGCTCGATTGGTTCTTACACATTTAAATTGGGGCCTCGACACGTGAGTCATTTCGATATTTCTAACGTTTTTCGGAAATGTAAATCTCGAAAAAGATAAGGATATAAAAATATCCCATTATTATGCTCAATTTTAAGTTTCTCGAATTTATTTGTCTCTATTTCTCTTCTCTTTAAATATTTCATCTGATCGAATGTTTTGTGACACAATTAAATGTATCTTCTATTTTTCAATTAATTATCGAGAAACTATAAATTCAAAATTAATGATTAACATATAATCGATCTTTCTCTTATAGAAATGACAGTCTGTATCTTCCGATTGATCTGCATCGACAAGTGGCACTGCTGATTGTCGAACTTACAATGAAACACGTGCCCGACACTCCAATACAGACGGCTTCGTTGTTAGCTGAAAGCATGAAGCAAGTGAGTTGTCAGTTGTTAAAAAATTAATATAAAATGAATTAAAAAACCACTTTGATTTAAATATTATATATTTATACAATATAATATACGTATTATTAGCTTTATATATTACAGTTAATATTTTAGAGATTGAGAACGACTATATCGCTATGTCATTGACAAAAAACACGTTCACTAATAATAAGCAAAATCTCAAGTTTATTTTTTATTTTGTCCCAGGTTTCCTCAATGGTGAGACCTCAGAACAGCGAGCAAGCATTCAGCCTGTGGGCATGGGAGATGATTAATAAACTGAGGCTGCATCAGTTGGACCGATCGGAATCCGTGTGTCAATATACCATCTCGAATCCGGCTGAGGGTCTTTCTTGCGTGCCTAACATGGAATCGGACTCCTTCTTAGAGATTCTAGTGAAAGGAGTACGCGAGAAGCAGCCGATCGCGAGCTACGTCTCCGTATTGATGACCCTGTGGGGTCACTCGGTGCCGCTGATCTGCGTCGAGGGTTTTAGCCAGTTGCAAACCTTGCAGTGCTACTATAAATACGAGCAGGTGCTGATATGTCTGCACCATGTGATACCGTTGTTTCTCGAGTGTCCAGATTCCTTACTGAAGAACGACAAATTTGTCAGCTTGATTGTGCCGCTCATCAACGCCGACCGCACGTATATGAAGATAGCGAAGAACCTGATCGCCCCGGAATTCCCCGGCCCGATTCTCAAACAATTCTCCAACATGATTGAATCTCATTTGCATCATTACAAACGGTAGGCACAAACGAAACGTATTTGCATAATGTATGTAATACTAAATATACGAATAAAAAATATAGAATAATATTATTGTAGATTGGATAGTTGAAAAATAATTATTTCTATATCGATGATTACAGGTATTGCTTGAATAGTCCGGACCGTTTCGTGCACCTATGGCTAAATGTATTGATTCTCGTCCAGGACTGGAACAAAGACCATAATGTAATGTATTTGATGGATAGCGTGATACGTGCGGCGTTCTTTCACTTAGAAGCCAGGGCGATAATGGAGAACATGTTCCAAAATCTCTTCTGCGTAAGTTTTAAGCAATTTAATTATGTATCACATATACAACATCATAGAAATTAGCAAAAGTTTAGTAGAAAGTAGATTTCACTTTTAGTAGTTTTGTATCAAATACTAAACGATTGTAATTTTTTATTATAATAATTATAATTATAGTTGTGTGTGTTCCATGTTTTTAACAAAATATTTATTTTGTTAGCCTGCTATAGACGGAAGTAATGAGGTACGACACATAAGAAACAATTTTTCTAATCTATATTATTTTTTCAAGTTAATATTACAAGTTAATTTTTCCAAGTTATATACTTACGTAGATAGTTAAAAAAATTTTAATACTTATAAATTTTATAAAATTTAGATATTGCATAGTTTTAATATTATGCAAAAAATGATTTCTTTTATTTGATATGCATGGAGGGGTAAAAGCCATAGTGGTGTAAGTCAAATTTTTTAAGATATTGACTCATGTGCATAGATATGCAATGTATATAATATATAAATTGCATTTATGGCACACGAGTCTGATTTTAAAAAAATTTGACTTACACCACTATGGCTTTTATCCCTCCATATATATATATGTATATAATTTTATGCAGTTTAATAATATAAATTTTCGGTTATTACTATCATACTTACACTGTAAATGCACTTAATAAATGCATTTGGATATGTAATTCATAGAATATATCGTCCAATCGGGCGCCCGGGTCGTTTGGATCATTTCTGAGTTGGGCAACAGGCTCTTCTAACTCAGCAAGCCTCCTTGGTGGAACCGTTCCAACAATATGGCTCGCTTATCAAATTCTGTCAACAGAGCAACATGATAGGGAGCTTAAAACCGGACTGTGGCGAGAGATCCTGCGAGAACTGTCAATGCAATCCAAGATATCTTTAGACACTGCGCTCAAGGTTTAAAACCAAGCGTATAATTATTAAACATACTCCGAGTATGTAAAATTATAACTATGAAAATCATTTCAGAGGGCCTGTGCAACAGTGAAGATTACTCCGTTCGGAGTAGGCAACCTGGCTATTTATCGCTGGTCCCAGCAAGCCCTTGATACACCCATGGATCATCCCATTCTGCCTCTCTTGTGGCAGAATTTTTTTAGCTTGTTCCTCGCACGAGCTCCTACCATCCCAGGGTGATTATTATTGCCTTAACAAAGCAATAGTTTTCATATTATTACTCGGCAATAATTTATTATTTTATTTTTAATTGCTCCAGATCTATGGACAAAGGTGGGGTCGGAGAAAAATTTTTTGAGGGGATGATAAATCTAAGCTACTTGAAGAAGTTGAAGAAACGACTGCACGAAACGACAGAGTATTTCCAAATGAAAGGAGAAAAGGACACGGACAATGGAAAACCGATCACGGATGATCGGCGTGTATTTTATTTCAGTGCTGCAAAGTAAGTGAACGCATATAGAGAGAATGAAATATTTTTCTTGAAAATATATCTTATGGAACGATATTTAATGCAGGTTTTATAAAACATTGAGCCTTTGGTTGGAGGAACCTCGTCTTCAGGAACCGGGACTTTATCTTCCAGCCCTGCCACCGCAATATATGTCACAGAGGCTAATTCTACTAATGCAAGGAGATCGAGTAAGTCAATCGTGCTCTCAAATGACGTACGACTTCGCATAGTAATACCGTTAATAATAATATTAATTGCCAACTTCCAGACCCTCTGGCTGGAATACGTCGACTACTGGGCGGTGCACCAGAGCCAACTCAAAGCCGTTTGTGAGTGGGAACGTGCGACGTTCCGCGATCCCGAGAACCAGTACCAGAAGTTTTCTCAGCCTTCGTCGAACGCCATAGAATCGATCGAACCTCTTTGCAGAATCTTCCGCAGGCTGAGCTCCTACGAACCGCCGGTTCCACCGCCGCCTTTGAGCCGCAATCAGCCGGTGCTGGGCTGCTTAGCCAGGGAATGCCTTTACAACTCCGCTACCGTTATCGATCTAGTCAAACCACATCTCAGAGTCATCCTTGACTATGCACAGACCTACAGTCTCATGGTATCCGAGCACACCGCGGCGGACTGCAGCTTCCTCGAACTAGTTCCAACTCTCTATCGGATCTATGAGAACCACGTTACCTTGCATGCTCTCTGCGACCCTGCGCCATCCGGTCAGAGGCGCTCTAGATCAGGCACGCCTCCCACTGTGCATTGTGCAGGCCCGGCGATCATCGAGATCACAGTAAAGAATATTAAATATTAAAAGATTTATAAATATACAGGCATACTTTTATATGTAGTAATTTTTATCCGAATCAAAATTTTTAAACTATGTTTTTAGGAAAATTTTATATTTTATAGGTTGAGGAAGCGCACGTCAGCGAAGGCGTGGACCATATGATAACCCAGAACCGGGCCGAGTATGAGAATCTCTTGGTGAAAGCTAGTCAACCGCCACCCAGCAAGGTCACTCTGGGCTGCGTTTTCACCGATCATTTAATCGCGTAAGCAGAGTTTAGTCAGATTGATCTTGTGCGCGATCACATTTTTTAATTCTCGTCTATTCTCGTTCTTCAGGATGTTGGAGCACGAGTTAGCTGTCAGTCGTACTAACGAAAACATCACCGTATTACGCAAGGTACAAGAGAGTGGAGTCAAACTGTTCTATCATTTAGTAGAATTCTATACGGAAGAAGCAGCGCTATGCCCTCCCACGAAGCAGCTTATCACTACTTGCTTGGAGAAGCTAGGACAGGTGCGTATAAAATTTAAAATTTCGGTATTTGCCCGCAAGAAAGATCATAAATATTTTTTTGTCTATAATCTTTTTTTTTTATATTGTGTATGATCTCACGAAACAAACTTGAATAAAGCAAAAAACGAATTACAGAAACTGTGAATCTAAATATATACAGGATGGTAAAAACATTTCTCAAGTATGGATTTCCGTTCTGTTCTCAGTTGTTCATCAGCGGCGAGGAAACCCAGGGTCCGCAATTACTGAACGCTATAATTCAGAGGCCTAATCTCGGAGGTCTGTTGGGACCACACTTTACTCCTGTCGCTGGAGGAGCCTCCACATTCTTGCAAATGTATCAAACCGTCGTGGACCTGTCAACCGGGTCCAATGTCGACTTGTGCTTCGTATTGCTCTCGAAGGTAAAATAGTTGAACTAAATTATAATCTTCGATTACGACTACTGGATTATTATTGTCTCTGTTGCAGTTTGACGTCGGCAGCTGGCTGAACTATCGCCGTCCGCGACTGAGCGAAAGATCTACCTTCATAGATCTAGTTTCAAGGGCGTTGTGCGACATAGGCTTGACTCCTGAAGAGGAAAAGCTGATGCTGCATGAAGTGAGTATCTTTATTCGTATGTTGGATCTGACAACTTAAATTTAATTAGATCGAAACTTATAGAAATTGAATTAGATTAGAAACATTGTTACATTTATTTCCGTCGAAAGGAAAACTCAAAATTATGATTATTATTCACGCAGCTGTTTCGAAACCATCTACGACTCATTCTTCTGCACGAATTCCCCGAGCACTATGGTGAAGTATTGAGCGCAGTGCTGAGAGGATCTGAGAGCCAGAATCTGTCTCTGGATGTGTGGCGCGATTTGTTGGGAGCTCTCAGCGGCAAACCAAGGAATATCGCGCCCTCCCAAAATCCTGCCAAAATCAGAGACGAAATCAGGCACTACGCTACGGAACAGAGGCTGCTGTCTCGCCAAGAGGTCTGATTTCACAAACAATTTTGTTGTCGGGAATGATTATGCGTGTACAAAAAGAAACATCTTACATTTACCGCTTTATTTTATACGTAATAATAAAACAAAACTTGGTATCCATGGTTCTATGATACTGTCATGCAATTTCAGATGTACGATACTGCTGTGCTTCTAAGCCGACACTTCATGAAAGAGAGATTGCAATATGGATTATACGGGCTTTATCCGAAGTACAGAAGTTACAACGAACCATTGACCATATTTTTGGGCATGATCGGTCATGCTCTAGTCGTATTGACGCTACAGGCTGATCGAGGGTCACTTGCTGATCAATGTAAGCCAATATTCTATTGAAATCTTGAAATTTTAAATATCTTAATAGCTACATAGCTATCTGAACTTAAAATCACATCTAAAAGACTTCGTTGCACGTTCTTCCAGTGTGCGAGAAGATCTGGCCGGTATTAAGCGAGATGTACGCACCATGGATCACTCCGTACTGGACAAGGAACCTGCGGGAGCCAACGGCCGCGTGGATCCAGCAATTGACGGACGACAGGTCGGTGCTGCTACCGTGGATCATTACCGACGGTCCTTACGCGAATCGTACGATGACGATGTTCGCCGAGTGCATTCGTTTCATCATCGACACCATGCCGGCATCTAGTAAGATTCTCAGCTTCGTATGGCAATTTTACGTGGCCAATTATGCTCACGCATCCGTCAAGGACCATGTACTGAACGTTGTGCATGGTAACTTGTTGTCTCTTCCTTGGGATCGCTTCTACCCTGCTACCAATGATGTCGAGTTAATGATCAGGGTCATTGATCAGTATCTGCCGGACTGCCATTTGTTCCTCGGAAGCATCTTCGCCTGGGTCAACTGGTCTGCCTGGGTCAGTGAATTAACCACGCAACCGTTGCCGGTCGCCGCCAGGATGCACGTTTGTCTGTTGAACCTGTTCGTGAAACTATCCAATGAACCAAACGTCAGACAGGTAAGATAGAAGAGGATAACTCCAAAATCTGTGAAATAAAGTAGAATTTGAGAAGGATATGAGGATATCTAATTTTCAATGTACTAAAGATATAAACTCGCTAAAGTATTTACTGAAAGAGAGATAAAACTTCAGCTGATGGAACCAATGTTTCAGAACGAGAAGGCGGTGCAGTTAGTCATGGAAGCCGAGAGCTTCTCTTGGCACTTAATCGACGCTGCGGCGTACGATCAAGTGATTAACTGGCATGTGATGAGTTGCGATCCTAAAGTGATCCTATGCCTGGGCAAAGACCAGACTCATCCTATCGATACAGCCGTCAATAAGTAAGTCTAATTCAAAGTGTACTCGTACCGTAAGAATTAATACTATGTCAAATATAAAAATAATTTAATATGCAGCTTGCTGAAGATAGCAGCAGCCTATGATCCTGCGGTGAAACACTTTCATCCTACCACCCTGAAGAAGAGACAGATGTATGTGCGTTCCTCGATGAAGTTGCTGATCAACTGCACCACGAGGCACAAGTCCCTGTTTTCGACCAACAGCAAAGCGTTCACTAACACGTTGTCACGGATGCTGGACGAGATGGAAACCGTTATCACCAGCAGTGAGTATCTAGGTCTCAAAACTAAGTAATTCAAGAATCTAGGATCCAATAGTCTAGCTTGCTCAGATTTAAAAACCTTTCTTCTCACACTGTTGTTGTAATATCAATTTTTTCTGCTTAGCTGTCTCTGAGTCGCAACAGGTTGCCGAGGCCGGTCTGCTAATCACTGAGCTTTTGCATTCAATCAATCAGAGTGGAGCGCTGGTCGATTACCTTCGCAGCAGTTGGACGGTATGGTTGCTAGAACGAACTGCTAGCAGCCCGGTGCTGATGGGAGTGTTAAGAGTGATCGGAATGGCAGTCGCTTCCTCGTCCACTCTAGGTCATCTCATGGAGGCTGCCTTGGAGGCTTATTTCAAATATAACAGTAAGCAACTGATCAGCTATTCTCGTGTAACGTTTTTCCTGTTTTATTCATTAGATTTAGCTTATTTATTTATTACACTACGTTCTTTTTCAGTAACGGAAGACGTTCGACCTACATGGGCTTCGGTATTGATGGTCCTACAGTCCGTAGTACCGCGTCAGCCGCCATTAGAGTCCGTGTTGGTGTCAGAGGGAAGACTGTTAGCCCTTTACTCTGTATTACTGAAGAGACTCCCGTCCTGCAGAGATATCCGGGAGGAGGGCATGCTTCTGATTAATTTAGTGGACTGGATTAGCGCTATTAAAACCACGTAAGTGATTCTGAAGAATAAACCGAATAAAATCCTAAGTAAGTTTACGTTAATAACGAATTTTGCTTATCCAGAGATATCGTAGAGGAGAAACTGCCTTTGCTGTGGGCGAAAGCATGCGAGCTGGCCTATAGGCAGTGTCAGTACAGTGAGAACACAGTGATCGCTGCCAGAGCCTTGAAGGGATTAGCACGAGCATTGCTAACAGTAGCGGACGATGCGGGGCAAGGATGGGGTATCCTGGGGGCTATTGGACTAAGAAAAGGCTCTCAGCTCACCGTACGGTAAGCTACGGCGATATAATTATCGAAAAGTAGGTTTATATTCCCCTCATACTCTTAGCAGCCTCGATTGCCCGCTCGATTTTCAGGTGCAAGTTCCTGAGCCGCGCAACAGCCGTCTACTGTTTGGCACAATTACCAGAATCCAAGTCCGATCAGCAATTAGTGAGATACACTCCACACTCGCCCGGTGTTGCACCTTCAAGATCGACCGATCCGGACACGATGGAGATTCGTCCTAGCGCAGAGGCTGTGAAAGCAATGCAGAATCTGGAGGGGCTCCTGATGAACAAGCAGTATACAGAGCTACGGGGAGATGTGGAGAGAGCCATTAGACTCATCAGGGATTCCGCCAACTCACTTCACAATGCAGTAGAAATTGTTGGCGCACTCACCACGGAGCTCTACAATCAAAGATACCTGCATGTGCTGACAGAGTGATACTAGTTTTATTTAAATTTAGCGACGGGCTGACAAACGCCTCGAATCGTTTCGAAGCGTGATACACACGACCTCGTAAGATTCTCGATCGTAAGTCGAGTTTTGAATGGTTGTATTACGTCTTTCAAAATTTTCAAACGTTTCTAACTCCTCGCAATTAATTTTAATGTTTCAAGATTTTTCAAGATTTGCAAAGATTTCCAAAAATCGATACTGAGTATTTTAAGGAAATTCTATGATTAAATTACTTGAAAATTTGCGTGATTGAATGCCCATCATTACGTAAATTTTAAATAACGCGTTTAAATTGAATGCTGTAATAACTCGTATCGGTTTGGTAGATTGAGATTGCATTGTGATTATTCATTTATATATTATAAATTATAATCGAATCCTGATCTCTGTGAAAACGTAAAATTGTGATATAATTTCAATCTTAAATTTAATTGCGTAATTAGGATAAGTCGCGTCTTATTGTTTAAATTTTTTTAGATCTGTACCGATCTCTCTAGTCACGAAGTTTTTTCTTTAATTCGAGACATTGTAAAATCTAGCATGCATTCAATTTAAATGACCACAGTTACATAAATAGAATTACGTATAATAATTAAAATGATATTTAAGGACGCAATTGTTATTTACATTTAACGTAAAATTTATTGTGCATTCGACTTGCGTCATCGATGCTTTGGTACCTGCGTACATAAATTCTGTTGTGTTGAATCAATGAAATATTTGGATTTATATTTACATATCACATTGAGATTTTGACAACGCAATTAACTTATGAACGCGATTAATATAGTTTCGTTGTTGATATTGCACGAAGTCATTTAAGAGCTGTCATAAGAAATCGTTGATGAATAAAGAGTCGATTATTAAATGAATTCTTGATGTCAAGTCGTCATATGAAACTACGATGATACTACAATATGAAGTACAAATTAACAGAGGACTATTATTTTTATATAAAATTTTAAATTGATATTACAAGATTTCTAAACAATTTTCGTCGTAATAATTTAAAAATAATTACAATATCTTGCCAAAATTTTAGAATAATGATATCTTAAGTTTCAAAAATCCATAATACTAGAATTCTTTAACATTATCGCATTAAAATTGCAATAAATTCTATTTATTGCTACAAAAGATAGTCCAAAACACCGAAATTTATCAAATCTTATAATTCAAAGTTCTAAGAGATTCGCAAGACTATCTTCAACATTGTCACTTCAATCTAATGGAGTTAAAAACGAACCATGTCCAAAAGTTTCACTTGAAATTCACAAGTCTTTGTTCTTTATAACTATCATACTTGTAACATACTACGACGTGCATTCCGTAGCAATTGTGAGGCCTCGCCGAGCGGGTAGTCGATCAGCTCGCACTCAAACTGATCGCTGAAAGCATTCCTGAAGATTGGCAGCACGTCGGCGACTGTAACGTCCATGTCTAGCTCCTTCGAAATGCTGGTCACGCCTTTACCCTCGATCCCGCACGGCACAATATGATCGAACCACTTGAGATCGGTATTGCAGTTAAGCGCGAGGCCATGGGTGGTGACGTAGCGGCTGCCGTGGACGCCTATGGCACAGATCTTGCGATCGCCGACCCAGACCCCGGTGTCCGGCGAGGTCTCGGCCTTGATGCCGAGCTCGGCGCACACGCGGATCACCATACGTTCCACCTCGTGCACGTACCATCTGACGCTGGTGTGGAACTGCTTCAGGTCGAGCACCGGATATGCCACCAGCTGACCGGGTCCGTGAAAAGTGATCAGCCCGCCGCGATTTGTCTTCCAGAATTCTGCACCGAGGTTCCTCAGCTTTCTCTCATCTTCCTCTGTGTATCCCTTGTTCCGTATCCCTACCGTGTACACTGGCTCATGCTCCAAAAGTACCAGCGTGTTTGCCGTTTCGCTCAAACGCTTATGATGGTGTTCTGACAAAGCCTTCTGCAATTGTAGACCGACCCCGTACGGCAAGCGGCCACCCAACAAGACTTTTACCACTCGTGAACGCATCTTGACGACATTCGGCAATGTTAAATTGGATGTTCTTTAAAACCGAGAAGCGAGAATTTCGTTAGATCGAAGGATTCAACGAGTTCTCATCGTTCTGGTTCTCCTTTTCTATGGCGACAGCCTTCTCCTGAATTGTCGTGTAAAGCAGAAGAGATACCTGTGTATGAAGACATTATTATTTTGACGGAGATGATTCTTTCACGATTATATTTTTCTTTTTAGCATCTTTTCAACATTTTTAAATTAATCGCAGTCTTGAAATTTTCACAGTGACTTCAATGTTCTATTATCTTAATGTTTAACAGATTTTCCATATTAAATTAATATTATTTTTTATACTTCACTATTTTATTAACATCAGGGTGTCTTTAAGTGAACGTACATAAGCATCCGTGGCTGCGTAACTTTTCTGGACGTCACTAAGAGGTTGTATATGCCACCTGCTCATTCGCACCTCGGGATCTTTGTTGATTTTCTTCTTCAACTGGATATATAAAGATTTTGATGATTTTAATTTGATTTGTCGAAATGCCATAAAGCAATGCAAAGTAAAATATAATACCAAATAAGCGGTCAATTTTTCCAAACTCCAACGGCAGGATCGCTTCAAGACTTGATTAGCGTAAGTCCCACAGTCCAAACAATTATTCTCTACCACTTTCTGTGCAGGAAACTCCTTAAAATCTCTCCCGAGCTTCCACACGTCGCTGCAAAATATTAAACGCGCGATTATTGGCTACTATTTTTTGCACGGAGAAGAAGCGCTCGCGAAAGAGCGCAGATAATGCCAAATGAAATTTGTAAAGTGATGGAACAATGACTACTGCTCACTACAGAATAACAGATAATGCAACATATTTGAATGAAGAAAATTTATATATACGCTAGTGAGTTTCGACATTACGGCGCACACAGAATTCATTGGTTCTTGATAAACTGAGTTGAATGTGATAACGCAAAATCCTTTGTTTAATGCTACTCAATCGCATATATGGAATTTGACGAGCAGAAAGTGAGTGAGATGATGTCAATGTTATGGAAAATTCTAGAGGTTTGAAAAATTATCTGGATTATTAATAATTGGAAAATTCTAATGCTGCGTTAGGAGGCCTCTCAGAGAATATGTTTATTTTTTTATCTATGCATAAATTATTGTAGCTCCTCTAATATATTGAAAGAACATCTGTTTGCAATATGATTTCAAGCATGATTCAAATAAGATTTTTTTTGGAAATAATTTATCGCGTCTTTCAAAAACAAAACTGTTCTCTCAAAGAAAAATGAAATTTCATTATTTAGTTAATAATTACTGACTTTTTAACATTGACACCGACGAGCTTGACTTTCGGATGATGCAAGAGTTCGACGAATGCTGCCGGGAGCTTCTTGAGCGAATAGACGTACAGGAGATAACACGCGCTGTTCTCCAAGCAAATTTGCACCAGCGCCGTCTTCCCGCTGCCAGTTTGGAAGTTGAACGGCCACTCCAGATCGAAACCTATCGGTACGATCTCCTTCTCGCTGCGCCTCACTTCTTGTCTGGAAGAAAGATTAGAGAGAGAAACACGTAAAAAATCCAAGTTCTTTGAAAATTTTTATCTCAAATTTTCTTCTTTTTCTATATTTAGAAACTTTGTTATTTGCATGCTTCTGAAAAATATTCTGTGTCTTCCGCACTCACAGGAGATCGTCGCAGATCTGGGCACAGTCGAAGAAGTCATCGGCGAACCGAATGCGTCCCTCGAAGACAATCGGAGGCAAAGTTTTTATGTCGGGCTCTCTTTCAGGTTTTCGTTGCTCCAACTTCTCCTGCAGAGAAATCAATAATTATTTTTATCCATTAGAGAGATAGAATCAGAATAATAAAAAGTAGGTGAACGCCAACGTTAAATAAATGGTTTTCAAAGTTAAGAATAAACTGAAACTTTCTCAAATAAAACATGGACTTATGTGTATGCATTATTTTATATTTTTAATTGCAAGAGGCATACATACACAATTACACTCACACATTTAAATATCCTTGTTCACTCAAGCTTTACATGAAAGTAAGAAAAGTCTATAGTGGAAAAATATATGTAAAACCATGGAGATATATCACCCTACGGCTAGTGGGCCAAATTCAAAGCTGTTTTTTGTGCACATAATAACAATTACTATTATATTTTAAATTGTCAATCAGAAATTTTCTCTTTTGTTATGTAAGAACCTACATATTCTGGGTCTCTCGACTCACATCTAAAATATTTACTATTTGACCCTTTACAGAAAAACTTGTCAACCCTTATTATACAGAGAAAGAAGTTTCCAACGTCAGGCTATTTCATCATAACATCATAACAATTTCGTCATATCAATTGATGCGTTCGTTCCAAGTTTAAGTTTGGAAAATGGAAAATGTTCCATTTCCACTAATACTCATATTTACGCGAGGCCAAGCACCTCGTTGCACCAACGACCGACCACTCGATAGTCGCACACACACCTTCAGATGCTGCGGCAGGTTCCGCGGCGAGCGACGCAATCCCACGGATCCCTCAGGTCCCTCGGGCACCTGCAACACAGCCGTAGATCGCGTCAGAATTATGAAGCACGACGAAGAAGGGACGCGCGCGCGTAACTAACCTCCTCCTTGCCGAGGCGGCCGGCACGTGTCGTCATCGCGAAGGGGGAGAGAAGGCGGCCGGACTCGTAGACTCCGAACGGATCCGCCGTTTACGGGAAAATCGGCCCCGGTGTCTGGAATCGCTCGTGGACGCGTGCTTCGTCCTGCCGCCGGGACCTCGACGGTGCCATGATGTCGCGTCGCCGGTTTCTCCAGATTTCCCGCCAATTTCCAGTTTCCACCTGGCGAACAGCTGACGTCCTGTCACACGTCGAGCGAAGCGATAAAAGAAAGGGGAGGGAGGAGGGATAAGGAAGGGGAAAAAAAGAGATACCGGTTGCGGGAGAAAAAAAATTAAAAGGTTGTTGCCTTTCTTCTTTTCTCTCCAACGTCTAATTTTACGCCCATTTCATTTTAAGCGCAATGTAGTGCCAGAGAGGTTTCTCTTTGGTAGCGCGGCTGTAAAGAGTAGGGCCTGAGAAGGGAACAGGGAAAACAGAGGGGACGCGCAAGACGTTAATTTTGTTTTTATCGAATTTATTTAAATAAGATCTCGAACCACGTCAAAGAACTGCTCACACAAACTTGCTATTTATATATATAAGTTATTTAAGCGTTATATTACTTTGCTCCGACATAAATATACATATGCAATGATTCTAATGTTAGGTTGATGACGTTTTCAGGGTGTCTTAAGAGATCTACGTATTGACAACAGCACTTAATTGTCTCTCCCCCTTTCACTCGCATACACACATTCTTCCTCTCTCTCTCTCCTCTCCGTTTCCTCTATGAAATTATATAAAGACTACAGTTTCATGACACCTCACTACTCGATCGCTATTTATAATGTATACATATCTCATGGCGTCTCCGAGTCACATGGGAATCCGCGACAGTCCTCCTTCGCCCGGTTTCTCTTCCAACTTTTCATCGTTCAAGTAAAATGACATGGGGGAAAAAATACTAACAACTAAAATGAATTAGCAGCCAACGAAACTCGTATTCTCTCGACTAAAACTGTCAGATCTTCATAATCAGACTTCCTCATCACTAATGAATGTAGTGATCTCCTCGAGACGGCCTTAAACAGGGTGTGTAGAAATTAAAAACCTGCGAGAATAATTGTCTCATCTGAATATTCTAAATCTTACGCTCGACTTTTGATTGGATGAGGATGCACACTGCCAATTCCCAATCTCCTGCACCACTCTCTGCCTGTATATATACTCCGTTATATTACATTGACGCATGTGTACACGTGACGTTAAACCGTTTGCATACGATCCAACGATTTCTACGACGAACGTGTGCATAATAATATACGTGTATTCTTGTCGCCCATTTAGCGCTAAATGTAGAATATGAGCGTTAACATTATTCATAACAAATAAAAAAAATTAAATCAATAAGACATTATTCAATTATATTAAAAGCTTATATCAGTATAACGATATCACAATGTGCTCAAATTACCGCAGAATGCAATTAATATATATTACGAATACACACGCTGGACAGCGTTTGATAAAATCCGTCACATTTGAGCATTATATGCTATATAAAGTGAAATGGCGAATCAGTGCGTCAACTTGAATGTAAAATAACGCGAACACGCTAAGAGAGTTCGACGGAGTATACAAATGTATGCAAAAATTGTTGGATTGTATGTAAACAATTTAACACAAGCCAAGTATCTAACCGCTTTACATTTAATTACAATCTTATTGTGCCGGGGGCAGAGACGGGTATGCGACATCGTCTTTCTTGCGAGCAACGAAGTGGCAAACTCAGTCGACTCCGTGTTCGAGACGATTCTGAGTACCCGTCGGTAGCCCATCCTGCCCATCTGCTGCTACTCGCCGGCCCGCCACTACTGCTGCGTGATTCTGAAGACCGGCCCGATCCTGAGGAAAAATCTGCGCAGCACCGATCTGAGCTCGGGCTTGAGATCGAAGCACATGACCTCGCAGAGGGAAGGATAGCAGGTGGAGGCGTGGACCGCGAAGCGGTGATCGCTCATCTTGAGGATCCGGGTGAGCAACAGCAGCAGAATCGGGGTCCAGGCGTCACGGTGGGCCTCGTTGGCGAGCGCCAGGAAATATTCCAAGGCCTCGCACGCCACCTCGACCAGCTGCGCCTCGACCTTGGACCAATCCGCGCGATGCGCCTCGTCGCTGTACATTTTAAAGAGGATACGCAGCGCGCACGCGAGCGACTGCGTCTCCTGCTTCAGCAGAGACGGCTTCATATTGCCGCGAAAGCTGGCCTTCCACAGCACGTTACGCTGCTCGTGATCCGAATTGAAGCTCTTGGCGAAGCGATGCGATCGCAGCAGACACTCCACCAATTGCAGGAGATGATTAGTCGTCAGGGCGCAGTACATGCCCTGCTCCTCCTTCTGCTGATCAGCGCCGGCCCTAAAAATCATCAATTGCATTGCGTATATTATACTGTACATTGTAAATTTTTTAAGAGATCGACGCAACGATGGAGCACTCACTTTACAAGTTCCGACGATTTGCCGTTCAGCATGTCGGCCTGCGCGAGCGCCAGATTCTCCTGATCCTCCTTGCGCGACGTCGCCGGGTAAAAAACAATATTATCGATGGTCTGTATCAACTCGAGCTGAACTACACACTTGATTTGCAACGCAGAGAAGAGCTTCGCCTTCGGCAAGATCTCAGTGTTCAAGCTCTGTGCGCTGTTGCTCCTCTTCAGAATACCAACGTGAAAACCGTCGGACTCGCCGGTAATCACGTCGAGGTCAGATTCCTTGTTCGGCGAGTGCGGCTTCCACGTGAGCAGTGCTGACGGTAGAGTGCTCTCAAAAATATCCAGGACGCATTGGCAGGTCTTCTCCCAAGTTTGCTCGTCGAACTTGATGCCATTACTGATGACCAAATTCTCCAGACAGTTGGTGCCCGATCGCGCCAACTGTTCGTTGTCCTGCTGGACGCACCAGAGAAGCTGGAAATAGAGCTGCTCCAGCAACAAGGGACCCAAGATATCGTAGAACTGTGAGAACACATCCACGATAGCGTACAGCGCGTGATTGCACGTTGTTGTCATCCACTCAGCTTTCTGCAATATTTAGATCGTTTACGTGCCTAGATGTTCAAATAACCTCTGAAAAAATACATTTATTCTCCTTCTTTTTTATCTTAGAGAATTATATGAACCTCAGTATGCTGTTCGGGCAGCTTCATATTGTCAAAGATCCTGAAAAGGACCTGGAAAAGGTCCTTCCACCAATGAGGCTTGAAGGATGCACCGTGAGTTTTGACGACATCGAAGAGTACCGTCAGCGCGCGCGTCCTGACGTCCAACTTACATCTACTCACAACGCAGGATAATTCAAACAGCAGCGGGAACCATCCTCTTACCTATAAAAAAAAGAAAAAAGAAATAAAAAACATGCCACGATTCATATGCGAAATAAACAAGCTAAGATAACGATACCCAGGCTCGATCTTCCTCAGAAACCATCCCGCTGTCGTCCATCATACCCTCGGCAAACAGATTGGGATTCGCATCAATATAAGAAGCGCAGGAACGTATTAGCCGGATTGCCTCCATGCTGGTGTCCGGAAAAGAAGCATTGCACGCGAACTCGCTCAGACATTTAACAGCGTCTTGGAAGGAGTCCACCATGATGCTAAAGTCCTCTGCATACAGCTCATCTACGGATATCATATACTCGAATTATATAATAACAATGATAGAATTAGCATAATACGTTTAAAATTGATATTATTCTAGATGGTGATTGAGTAAGAGAAAAACGACATAAGTACAGTAATATTCTCCAAGGCAGGCATAAAAATAAAACTCACTGATAATTTTTCCAGTCATGTTAAAGGCCAGTTCGACGACAGATTCATCACGATCACTGGCCGCGTGGTGGAAAACACTGAAAATGTTCTTCCAACCGGATCTGATATTCGGCGCTTGCGAATGAACAATCTGCGCAACGCATCTCACAACCATATCTCTAATCACAGGCGATCTGAATCACAAATCAAATTAAATCACAATTAAACAATAGTTAAAATATATTATGCAAAATTATTATAAATACAATACTTAACATATTCTAGTAGATTGACATGTTTACTTAAAAAATGTTTACTTAAAAAAAAAAATAAAGAACGTGGGTAAAATTATATATAACATATCGAAGTACATAATTACAATTAAAAATTACAGTTACAAATTAAATAAAAGTGAACCAAGATTAATTATAATTAAAGAATCAAATTATATTACCTGTTCTTTTTCATGATGTGCTCGAACGGCCTGAGGAAGTCTTTTTGGAATCTGAAATTGGCAAACTCGCCCTTCTCAATAAACTTGGTGGCCAGCTGCCTCAGAGAATCCACCGCGAAAAATGCGATATCCTGTCGTGGACTGCATCCCACCCTGTCGAAATGATCGCCGAGGACCTGCCAGATCCTGGACCACTGTAATCTAATACGACCCATATTGTAGTACGAGATCTCGACGATCTTCGTAAGAGAGAACATGCGCGGTTGCGTGGGGTGTGCCAACTCCTCAAGAGATACCTAATGATTATTAATCATGGTTAGACATTTATTATGCAATTTGTATTATGTAAGAATCATTGAGCGAAGAGAGAAAGACCTGGCAGAGAGCCTTGACAAATTCGACAATGGCATCACCATCGAGTCTCGTCGAGCCGGTGAAGATACGATCTACGGCTACGACGACGCTCTGCGAGCTGGTTTCACCGATGGACTCCTTCACGCTGGGGTCCAACGAGCTCAAAAGATTGTTGGTCTGATGCGAACTGGCAGAGTGTGCGAGATTACCGAAGTTTGCCAATGGCGAGGGAAAGTGCGGTTTTGACGGTGGGCCCAGCAATTGTGGCCGTACTCCAGTACCTATCAGCTGCGCCAATTCTAACTGGGAGATGCATTTGACGACATCGAGCCACGAGCTGCCTAGATAGTTGCCATCGGTGTGAGCTACTGTGATGAGAGTCTTGATGGTATCGATGTTCTTCGCCTTCATTTCGGTAATTGGTGAATTAGCCGTCAACAAGGTGAATCTTGCCAAAGCTTGTACATAGGCATCGCGCTCGAGGCTCATATGAAAGATGCAGGCGATACGAATGGCACATCTAAAATATAGAACATATAAATAATATAAAGCACGAAAGGCACAGCCGTATAAATCTATTTTTTCCTTCGTTTCTCAGATTTCTTCTCACCTGATACCGTCCAAGCAGAGCGACGCGATCTCTGGATCGTCGCAGTCCTGAAGTCCGACGCTGAACGCCGCGAGGAATGGCGTCCAGGCCATTTTGAACATCGGCCGCACGTGTTCCAGATGCTTCGCCGTAGTGAATGGTGCCTGAACATGACTGACAGATTCCATCAAATTCTTCGCCGCTGTAGAAATTACTTCCATTTCCATGTTCCATAACAATCGTCGTTTCTTTTCACTAGATATCAGCTGTTTGCCGGCGAGCCGGCTATTATTAGGATTCGACTTCATCTTAATCTCGTTGCCGGCGATTTCATCGTAGATCCTAGATAGGTATTCCTCAGGGAGATCCTCATTGTCGCTGATGCGCCGATTAAGCCTGATGAATGAAAAAAAATACAAATAAGAAAAGACTCTTCAAGTCTATAATTAAAGAGATTATACCATTTGATTTGATATAAAGAGCGATTCCTATGCATTTTTATATTTCTCATTATTACATAACATTAATAATAATAAAATGTAATAAGAAAAAATTAATAAAAATATAACAACAAAGATAAACTTAAATACAATAAAATGTTCTCAATATTAATAATTGTATATATGTAAAACATAATTTTTTAATTATAATTAACTTTAAAAATTGCTATACGTACTTGATGTATTGTTCTTTGGTCATTTTATTCTTAACCTGCGGCGAGTGCAAATCGGTGGTCAGCATTATGATTGAGAAGCCGAGAACGTAGGCTGTATCCGCGCTCGTGAAGAGGCCGTTGTTAGGGTTACACTCGCAATAGCGACTGGCAAACTTTTCCATTAATCGGTCGATCTTCTGTGCCTCGCCGGGCAGCCGAAAACCCTCCAGGAAATACCTGAGTGCGGTTACTAGATCGCGTTCGGCAAAGTTCATCTGATCGATGTAATGGTACATTACCTGTGCAAACGATATAACAAAATTAATCATTATCTTAATTAATTAACAATTAACAATAATTATCGCGCAATAATCATAATAACATGATTTAGACTTAATCAACCATGGTCGCTATTTATAATTAGTTTAGTCTATTAATTTCAATTGTTCTCTCCTCGTCACCTGGTTATGATTATGGTCGCCCAGAAAGTCTCCAATGGCGGTCTTGTCGAGCCGCTCGTCCAGATGCAGCCACCTGGCCACGTCCTCCGGCGAAGCACCCAGCAGTCCTTGCTCCTGCAAGTACTGCACACCCTTGCCGGGCTTCCGGCTAAAGATCTCGATACCGGCCTCCCATACCTCTTTCTGTTGTTTCTGTACTTCATACTGCTCCGGCGAGTCCGGCACCTCCTTGTTGCCAGTCAGACTGGAGTTGGCCGACGAGAGACTGCCAGCGCTGCCGTAACGCGGTAGCGGGGTCTCCGGCGTCGTATCCGGTGGATCTGACAATGGTTGCTGATCCGCTGGCACGCTGGGATTCACGTAAAGATCCCGACTCCACTCCACCATGCACTTCAAAATAGACACGAGGCACTCCAGACCACGGATGCGCATGGATTTCTCCTGAAAGAGCAAGACACTAATATTACAAACAAAACTTTATATTGCTTGTCTCGAAGAACATTCTCTGTTCCAAATAATACATCTATCCTGTCATCCTCTTTCTTATAACGCACCTGATTTGGCGATGCACCTAGCTCCAGAGCTTGACGACCTTGAGCAATCTTAGAGAGATCATTGACGAGCCTCTCGAAGAGATTCGCTGCTGAGAGATCGCAATCGTAGTTAACGTAGATGTCGACGACGCTCTGGGCATCCGCACAGATCCTCGTAAGCGCATGTATGACCATCCACTTGTGCTCGAAAGAGCTGCTAGAGGTCTCGAGGATGTTCATAAAGATCTCCTTGAAGAATACCTCAATCTGCATCTTGAGGTGCATCTTGAAACGGGCGAGCAGCGCCAGGAACAGTGCCAACGACAGCTCGAACACTTCCGGCACCGAGGACACGCCATTCTTCGACAGCGCGACACACAAGTACTGTTTAATGGCGATAACAAACATCTCGTTAGAGCGCAATATTGGACCGGCATTCTGCAAGATTCCCAGAAGTAACTGAAGCGACAGGATCTTGGAACGGAGCTCGTGCGATCTTGGATCGGGAGTGCCGTCCGGCAGCGGTTTCATAGAGAGCTTGCAGAGAGCGCGAAACACCAGGAACGCATCCTTTTGCAGCACATGGGTGAATTTCGCAGTTACCATGTTGTCATTCTCAGCGGCCGCCTCGTCACCGTTGTCCTCCGAATTGCCGTTCTCCAAACTGACTTCCTCTTCCAATGGCACTACAGATTTTACTACATCATCAAGAATACTCTTGACAATTGTTTGAGACTCAATGTTATCATTACTAGGAGCATTCTCTGGACTTAGCTCGGCTTCAGTTTCGCCGTTTGCTATGACAGAACCCTCCTGCTGATGTTCCCCATCAAGCCTCACGTTCTCTTCCTCCGCCTGAGTCTCCATTCGCGCGAAGATCACGTTGATCATTTGCGTGAGAGTCGCCCGGGCTGTTGTTTGATTCACCAGGTTGCGCGACGCCAAGTAAACGTTGTAAACAGTACGAATTGTCAACAGTACCGTACCCTCGTGTACCTCCACATGCTGGCTTGTCATTACGGTCAGCAGAGCTTTAATAATCTGCAGCTGCACACCCTCGTCGGTCTGTGGACCGGTGAAGCAACCACAGATTGTCTCGACAATGCGCACAATCAGCAGCTTGTTAGGCTCCGTTGAATCAGGCACATTGCCAGTGAGATGGCCATATGCGATTAACTTCTGCAGGCAGTCCAGTGCTGTCACCACAATCCGCGGTGACTTGCTCTGACATGCTAACTCAAATGGCAAGAAGTACTTCTCAGCGGTAATGACATTTGAGTCGCTCTTGGGCTGTGGCAGGGCGTTTGAGATAACCTCTTCACCCTGCACAGCTGGTACATCCTTGATCTCGTTACGGAGGTCCTCTGCAAAATGAAAATATATGAGTGACAAACTTAATTAGCAACTATCGCTTATAGCTACAGGCTTATAGCTACAAGTTGTACGCTTGAAAGGTCTCTCCTTACCGAGTGCAGACTCGCAGGACTTCCTGAGCTGCGAGAGGTGCGATCTCTTGACATCTCGGTCGGCCAAAATCTTTTCCAAAGCTCGGACGATAAACATCTCTCTGGTCTTGGAGTTATTTTGCATCGTCCACGCGCTCGTTCAATGCTGGTTTTTCAATGTGTCAACATTAGAGCAGGCTGGCGAATGGCATGTGACTATGCTGCGGCTGGCCGTTGGCCAACATCTTTCGCCACCTTCTCTCTTACTACGCGACCCCTTCTTGCGAATCTGAGGACATCACGCACAGACGTATGTCCGATGAGCCGAGGTAAGACAAAGCCGAGGAAAATTTTACAGGTATAAAATCACTCACCTAAAGTGATAAAACGACAACCTGAACCACATGGAATTTTTTCAGAATGGCTTTTCAGGAACAGCACCGCGAAGTGCGGTCTCCTTGAGAAAGATGTTATGTGGCCTATAACATCATCCGTCACTGGACTTCAAAACAGGACTTGAACAGAAATTAGACGACGACAGAAATCAACCGACACTCGCGCTGACAGCCATCGAAACGTAACCGCGAATGATGACAAGTATGACAACCGTCTCGCAGCACGCAGCTCGCTATCACCAGAGAGAAACCTGATGAGAGCGGCCATCCCGCTTCGGAGGACGCCATTGGACACCATCCACCGTCCGCCATAATTCAGGACATCTATGGCGCGTTTTCAAAAAAATGTTTAAATCAGTTTAGTATCTATATAGTTTATTAACATACAAAAAATGAATTTAATTAAAAATTTATATGTGTTTATGTTAATAGTTCAAAAAAATGTGATTTTTGGAAAAATTTAAAAATAAACACGTTATAATAATGTGTTCAAACAGCGCGGAATATATAACCACTATATCAAAATTATTTATCTTTCTATTTATATTTTTGGGAATTGAGAATTGAGAATTGAGAATTGAGAATTGGGAATTGAGAATTGGGAATTGAGAATAGAGAATTGAGAATTAAGAATTGGGAATTGAGAATTGGGAATTGAGAATTGAGAACTGAGAATTGGGAATT